TCGACCTCCTCGTCAAATGCGAGAACAAGATGCAGACGCGCATCAAGATTGGCCTCAACTCGAAGATGCCGTCGCGCTTCCCGCCCGTGGTGTTTTACACGCCCAAGGAGCTCGGCGGTCTCGGCATGCTCTCGATGGGCCACGTGCTCATCCCGCAGAGCGACATGCGCTACATGAAACAGACGGAAGGCGGCATCACGCACTTTCGGTCGGGCATGTCGCACGAGGAAGACCAGCTCATCCCGAACCTCTTCCGGTACCTGCAGCCGTGGGAGTCGGAGTTTATCGACTCGCAGCGCGTTTGGGCCGAGTATGCGCTCAAGCGGCAAGAGGCGACGGCGCAGAACCGCCGGCTGACGCTCGAGGACCTCGAGGACTCGTGGGACCGCGGTATTCCGCGCATCAACACGCTCTTCCAGAAGGACCGGCACACGCTCGCGTACGACAAGGGCTGGCGCGTCCGCACCGACTTTAAGAAGTACCAAGTGCTGCGGCAGAACCCGTTTTGGTGGACGCACACGCGCCACGACGGCAAGCTTTGGAACCTCAACAACTACCGCACGGACATGATCCAGGCGCTCGGCGGCGTCGAAGGCATCCTCGAGCACACGCTCTTCAAGGGCACGTACTTCCCGACGTGGGAGGGCCTCTTCTGGGAGAAGGCGTCGGGCTTTGAAGAGTCGATGAAGTACAAGAAGCTCACGAACGCGCAGCGGTCGGGTCTGAACCAGATTCCCAACCGTCGGTTCACGCTGTGGTGGTCGCCGACGATCAACCGCGCCAACGTGTACGTGGGTTTCCAGGTCCAGCTCGATTTGACGGGCATCTTCATGCACGGCAAGATCCCGACGCTCAAGATTTCGCTGATCCAGATCTTCCGCGCGCACTTGTGGCAGAAGATCCACGAGTCGCTGGTCATGGATCTCTGCCAGGTGTTTGACCAAGAGCTCGATGCGCTCGCGATCGAGAACGTTCAGAAGGAGACGATCCACCCGCGCAAGTCGTACAAGATGAACTCGTCGTGCGCCGACATTTTGCTGTTTGCGTCGTACAAGTGGCAGATGGGCAAGCCGACGCTGCTGCACGACGTCAAGGACTCGGCCGACGGCACGACGTCGACCAAGTACTGGATTGACGTTCAATTGCGCTGGGGCGACTTTGACTCGCACGACATTGAGCGCTACGCGCGCGCCAAGTTCCTCGACTACACGTCGGACAACATGACGATCTACCCGTCGCCGACCGGCGTGCTCCTCGCAGTGGACCTCGCGTACAACTTGTACAGTGGCTACGGCAACTGGTTTACGGGCTGCAAGCCGCTCATGCAGCAAGCGATGGCCAAGATCATGAAGGCCAACCCGGCCATGTACGTGCTGCGCGAGCGCATCCGGAAGGGGCTCCAGCTCTACTCGAGCGAGCCGACCGAGCCGTACCTGAGCAGCCAAAACTATGGCGAGCTCTTCTCGAACCAGATCATTTGGTTTGTCGACGACACGAACGTGTACCGCGTCACGATCCACAAGACGTTTGAAGGCAACTTGACGACCAAGCCCATCAACGGCGCGATCTTCATCTTCAACCCGCGCACGGGCCAGCTCTTCCTCAAGATCATCCACACGTCGGTGTGGGCGGGCCAGAAGCGTCTCGGGCAGCTCGCCAAGTGGAAGACGGCCGAAGAAGTGGCCGCGCTCATTCGGTCGCTGCCGGTCGAAGAACAGCCCAAGCAGATCATTGTGACGCGCAAGGGCATGCTCGACCCGCTCGAAGTGCACTTGCTCGACTTCCCCAACATTGTCATCAAGGGCTCGGAGCTGCAGCTGCCGTTCCAGGCGTGTCTCAAGGTCGAGAAGTTTGGCGACTTGATTCTGCGCGCGATCGAGCCGCAGATGGTGCTCTTCAACATTTACGACGACTGGCTCAACACGATCACGTCGTACACGGCGTTCTCGCGGTTGATTTTGATTTTGCGCGCGCTGCATGTGAGCCAGGACCGCACCAAGATCATTTTGCGGCCGACCGCGACCACGATCACGCAGGACCACCACATTTGGCCGAGCCTCACGGACGAGGACTGGCTCAAGCTCGAAGTGCAGCTCAAGGACCTCATCCTCAACGACTATGGCAAGAAGAACAACGTCAATGTCGCGTCGCTCACGCAGAGCGAGATCCGCGACATCATCCTCGGGATGGAGATCTCGGCGCCGTCGCAGCAGCGCCAAATGGTCGCCGAGGTCGAGGCCCAGGCGCGCGACCAGTCGCAGTTGACGGCCGTGACGACCAAGACGGTCAACGTGCACGGTGACGGCATGGTGGTCACGACCACGTCGCAGTACGAGCAGCACTCGTTTGCGAGCAAGACCGACTGGCGCGTGCGCGCGATCTCGGCCACCAACTTGCACTTGCGGACCAACCACATTTACGTCAACTCGGACGACATTCGCGAGTCGGGCTTTACGTACGTGCTCCCGAAGAATATTCTCAACAAGTTCATCACGGTCGCCGACCTCCGCACGCAAATCGGAGGCCTCATCTACGGTGTGTCGCCGCCCGACAACCCGCACGTCAAGGAGATTCGGTGCATCGTCGTGCCGCCCCAGCTGGGCACGCACCAGAGCGTCACGATCCCGATGGCCGCGCCAAGTCACGAGTACCTCGAAAACCTCGAGGCGCTCGGCTGGATCCACACGCAGCCGAACGAGACGCCGGCGCTTGCGCCCCAAGACGTGTCGTTCCACGCCAAGTTTATGGCGGAGAATGCGTCGTGGGACGGCGAGAAGACGATTGCGATCACATGCAGCTTCACGCCCGGGTCGGCGTCGCTCACTGCGTACAAGCTGACGCCGGCCGGGTACGAGTGGGGCCGCGCCAACAAGGACACGGGCCCAAGCCCGCCGGGGTACCTGCCGACGCACTACGAGAAGGTGCAGATGCTGCTCTCGGACCGCTTTGTGGGCTTCTACATGGTGCCAGACGAGGAAGTGTGGAACTACAACTTTATGGGAGTCAAGCACACGCCGAGCATGAAGTACGACGTCAAGGTCGGCAACCCCAAGGAGTTTTACCACGAAGTCCACCGCAAGACGCACTTCTACAACTTTAGCGCGATGGAGTCGGTCGACGAAGCCGCCGGCGACGCCGAAGAAGAAGGCCAGCGCGACGTCTTTGGCTAAGGAATCTGCGTGTTTGTATCTTTGCTGATGAAGCACATAATACATGAATTGGACATTGCAATACGGTTGTTGAGAGTTGGTTGTAAGATCCGATGCGTGCTGGAATATGGCGGTAGGTTCAAGTTGAAGTTGTGTTTTGAGAAATACGCAATTGAGTTTCAGAGCTGCGCAGTGGAGAAGGATGCACATGTCAGTTGAGAAGATACGGCGCTCGTGGAGCTTGTGAGACGCTTCCATGTTGCACCACTTGCTCCGCGTCGAGGCTTTGACAGAGAGCTCACTGCAACGCTCAATTTGCTGCCGACGTGCCCGGGCCTCGAACAACTCAGGTTCAGGAGACGCTGCCCATCGAATACCGTCGCGAAGCTGCCGTCCACGCATCATCGCGTCACGATTTTCAAAGCCAAATTTACCAAGCGCGCGGAACGCACTTGGCAAGAGCTTGCTTGGCACCTGTGTCCTCGATGAGATCGGCTGGACCTTAGACGTCGTCAGGACGTACGAGGTCCAGCCGATCTCATCGAGGACACCGTCCATGGAGCGAGTGCTGCGCCAGTAGATCAATTGTGGTATCCGCAAAATCTCGTTTGTCGGCTTTGGAGAAGACCATGCGGTTGCGACGGCCATTGCGCGAGAACGAGCCCCGTTGGTGTCCGCATCCACATCGATATATCACTGCCAGCTGCCAAACAACGCCTACGTCCTCCTCGGCCCAGCCCTTGCGTCGTGCCGTGGCGTCTCGATCGAGCTGCCGCCGGTGCTGACATCATCAACTCGCTCGACCACCTCGCGGCCATCGACAGTATTGCGTGCGGCCAGATGACGATTTTTTCAAAATTGAGTTTGCATTTTCTCAAGGTTGCTGTCGTTCAGAAACAATTCTTTCGGTATATTAGACAATGGGCGACATCTACATGTCGTTTGTCACGTCGATTTCGCGATATATGTCGACGACAATGACATCCCGTTGCTTGGAGCTCCCAAGGACGAGTGCCTCCTTCGTCATCAAGAGCACCGAGTGTGGGGCGAGAGCTGCATCCGCCGTGGCCGAGCACTCGCATTGTGCGCTGGCGTCTCGCACTGCCGTCGATGGTGGCGACGACGCCTTCCGAGACAGGACAACAAAGCTCGGCGTTGTCGATTGCCACTAGGTCGTCGAACGCCAGACCCATCTTGTGTTGAAGAGCCCGCGGAGGGTGCGTAGTAGTCCGCCGTAGTCGGTCGTATTCGACTACATTTTTTCTTTATACTAATGGACGTGCTAGGAATATCCAAACGAGTTTTTCATACCCTGGTGGACGCAACGTACGATGCGGTACAGACGATGGCGCTATCAACGTGTACGAGGCGTCCAGGAGTACTCTGCTTTTTTTCGGGGTTTGTTTCCCTTCCCCTGACCTACCCCTACGCCACGAGCCACTGGTTAACGTCGTTTCTCGGGCTCAATCAACAAGAGATGCAAAGTGCAGGTTGTTCTCTAGGATGTGCTGGCTGTGTATCGACTCGGTCGAGATTCTTTTGAACACACGCCTTTGCTCACGAGCACAATGTGCGTATTGAGAAATGCGCGAATCGAGGTCGCTTCAGCGCTATGATTCAGAGTGATACTATGAAGAGGCCCCAGTGGTGCAAATAATTCGACCACAAGAAAAGGACCGAGAGCAAGCGCTCGGACGACGGCGTTTGCCGACGACTGTTGTCTTGATGGCACTTGGAATCACTGTCGGAACAAGCTGCGACAGGTGTTTTGAGAAATACACCATTCATTGAGTTTGGCATTGCGAGTGAGCCCAAGAAAAGGCCGTTGATGTTTGATCCTGCCACACTGCGATGAGTTCCACGGCCGCGAGAACGATCCTGGATCTGGACCACGCGTTGGTCACGATCGCGCAGTTTACGCCGATGACCAAAGACGTCGCCGCCTTCCTGTCGGCCCTGCCGGCCTCGGCGCGCAGCGCGTCGCTAACCGCGCTCCACAAGCTCTTGGCCGACTCCGCGCAGGTCGTCCGGCGCAATTATCGGACGGCGCTTTTTCAGCAGGATCCGGAGAAGGCCATGAGCAAGCTCTGGCCCGTGCTGGAGCTCAGTGTCGTCACGTCCGCGACAGCCGCGCTTGCACTGGCCGCGATGCCACTCTTTTCCTCAGTTGCCCTTCGCAATCTCGACTTGACGCAGAACGTACTGGGCTACGACCATTTTCAGTGGCTCTATCTCTGGCGCCACAAGATCACAAACTATGCGCACTCTCACGTTGGACGTCGCCACGACATCCCACGTCTCTGCAGCATCTTGACGCAATGCACCAAGCTTCAGGGCGTCGACGTGCACGAAGGTATCGAATCGGGGGCGCAGATCCTCGAGGCCGTCACGACGCCCGCCCACCGCGTCCGGTGCCTCACGGTCTGTTGCCTCGAGACCTCGGCAGAGATGATCCCGGTTGTCGCGCGCTGGCTTGCGTCAGGCAGCGCCGAGCACTTGCACTTTACGTATTACGCGTACAGTGACACGCCAGTGAGCGAGGCGCTGGCGTCAATGCTCTGCAAAACGACTACTCTCTCGCATCTTGCGCTCACGTTTCAAGCCCCCGAGCTGCTCGCACGGCTTTTGCCCGTCGCAGCCGCCTTCACTCGTCTCACGCACCTGCATCTCGCGGTGCCGGCAGCCAACATGCCCGCGGTATTGACGCTTTTGCAGCATCTCCGCAGTCCAAACCTTGGCTCGCTCTGCGTCGGCTCTACGCGCGGGAACCTCACCGAGCATCTCACCGCGCTACTAGACGTCCTGCCTACGTTTCCAGCGCTGGAAGAGCTCACGATCCAGCGCTGGTGCCTCATGGACGGTGTGCTCGAGCCCGCGCGCCGATCCACATTTCGCCGGCTCACGTTTTCCGAAGTGCTGTTGGCCACGTCCGTGTGGGAGGGACTGGCGACGGTCTTGCTGCGCTCATGCGACCTCGATGAGATTACGTGGCGCAATTGTCGACTGTGGGGAAATGAACTCGAGTGCATGACGCCGGCGTTACGCGGCTGGATTGCCCGAGGCATTCGAATCATCACGTTTGACAACTGCCGCCTCGGAGACGACCAAGCGACGATGCTTGGAGCGGCCGTCGCTCGAACGACGAGCGCTGTCGGTGTCTCCATCGTCATCAAGAACAACCTTTTGTCGGGCAAGAGTTGCGTGCGCCTTGGTCGAGCACTCCTGCTGTGCGCTGGCGTCTCGGTCGTGCTGCCGTCGATGACGATCGACGACGACTTCCGAGACTTGGCGACGATGCATGGCGTATTCTATGGCCACGAGGTCGTCGACGGCCAAACATATCTTGTGTTGAAGAGTCCCGCGGATCGCGCGTAGGCCGCCGTGCTTTTTTTGCATACCGTTCAAGCATTTGTACTAAGCTTAGTAGTTTTTTCCATCTAACGAGTAGAATGGGTAGGGTAGTAGGGTCGTGGACAATATGTCCACCCAGCTGGACATATAGCATCGGCGCCGAAGACGCGCAGGACGAGAAGATGATGCAACTACTAGTGATGCCCTATCCCTGCAGTCACGTAGACTGCTGACGTTGGCAGAAATGACGTGCTGGCTACGGTATGCCGCCGCCGATCTCGTTCTCCGCCGTGATGACAGCGGTTTCCAGCTGCAAGAGCGTCATGTGTCGAAACGCGCGATGACGAAACTGAAGTATCGCAAAGGTCCTTCCTTCCCAAGCGTCAGTGATGACGCCCGTGGATGCAGCGTTGTGTTGGACGCTCTTGCCATCGACCTCGTCGTGGCTGACGCCGATTCGACCAGCTGGAGGCAACAACGGTCGTTGGCGCGCGAGTTAGTAGTGGCGCAGTCGCCTTCTTGTTATTAGATTGAGTGGGCGGAAAGGCCATGTGGCGGGTGAGCAACAGGGCCAAGCGCGCGGCCGCAGCCCCGTCGTCTGTCGTTGACGCCGCTCGCATCAGCACGACGTTCGTTCAGTGCTTGGCGGCGTCAAGGCCTTCCTCGCCGCTCTGCCCGTCTCCACCCGCAACGGATGTCGAGCTCCTGGTCTGGTACCAGCCTATAGTTTGAGAAAAACGCAAATTGAGCGATGCATTAAGATTCAGTTTGAAAAAAACTCTGGTCCGACTAATGACGAGCCGCCGGAGCCAGTGGATGGGCGCGCCATCGCCGACGGCGTTCAAACTGGACCACGTCCTCGTCGCCATCGTCCAGTGCTTGGAAGCGCCGATCGACGTCAAGGCCTTCCTGTCGGCGCTCCCAGCCTCGGCGCGGAGTCCGCCGCTGGCCGCGCTCCTCCAGCTGCTGCAACGCCCGCTGGACGCTGTGATCTCGTACCGGCATTACACCGAGCACGAGGCCGTCGAGCATTTGTGGCCCATGCTCAAGCTGGCCGAGCTCGCGCCCACTGGCGCACGCCTCGCGCGCGATGCACTGCCCGTCGTGACCGCGGCCATGGTGTTCGGCGTGCCGATGGATCCCGCCGGCTTGGAGGCGCTTCAAGCATGGAGCAAGAAGGTCATCCATTATACCCACCCGCACGTACTGATCAATATCCCGCTTCCACGCCTCTGCAGCGTCCTGCGCGAGTGCATCAAGCTCCAGAGCTTTGACGCTCGCAACGTCTCGGGCGACGCATCGCCCCTGGACGCCGTCACGACGCCCGCGCACCGCCTCAGCTTTCTCGCGATCAACTGCCCGGCGCGCGAGGCCGCCAAGATCTCGGCCATCGGGCGTTGGCTCGATTCCGCGTACGCCGAGACATTGGTCGTGTCGTTCTTTGCATCGGACGACCCGAGAGACCACGACGCGCTGTCGCTCATGCTGCCCAAGACGGTCGCGCTCTCGACCCTCGACATGTGTCTCAAAATGCCGGGGCTCCTTGCCCCGCTCGTGGCTGTCGCGCCCTCGTTCACGCGTCTGACCCGCTTGCGCATCAAGCTTGCGCATGCGTCCGACATGCCGGTGCTCGTGCAGCTGCTGACATGCCTCGACGGCCAGCGCCTCACGATGCTACACATTACATGTCCTCACTACGAGTACGTCAACTTTGGCGTGCTCCTCGATGTGCTGCCGTCGTTCCCGGTGCTCGAAGACCTGAGCCTCGCGCGCGGTTCCTTCGCCGTCGATGCCATGGCCCCCACGGCGCGACTGCCATCGACGCTTCGCCGTGTAGCATTTACCAGTATCTCGTTCGACGGACCGGCGTGGAACGCCTTTGCAGCGGGCTTGTCCAGCGCGTATGAGCTCGAATCATTGACGTGGCTCGAGTGCAAGCTTTCCACAGCGATTACCGACGCTATCATGACGACTCTGCCCGACTGGATCCGCCGAGGCATCCAAAGCATCGCCATGCACAAGTGCGACGTTAGCAACGAGTCCATTATGCGGCTGGCAGCGGCGCTTCCGCATACGACGAGCCGGCTCGGCGCCGCATTCGATATCGTGGACGAGTACGAACTGTCTGGACCGTGCTACATTGCAGTGGACCAAGCGCTCACGACTTCCGAGGCGTCTCGATCTTCCTCCCGCCGATGGATGAAGAGACGGATTATAGAGCCGTGCCGGTGCTGCGCCAGTACAATTACCGGTATGAATACGTCGCGGGTCGTCGAAGCCTCGTACTCGAGAGCCCGGCGTGAGGCACCTAAGATGTAAGCATCCTTTCTATCGACTCTTGAACCTTGTTTGGTTCGGGGCGGCGGGGGGTTCGGAGGGAACCCATCACCCTTCCCCTTGCCCTTACCCCTGTTCACCGCAAAATGCTTGAAACTGGTTTGAGAATCCTGCCGGTCGAGTTGGAGCAACGTGCAAGGTAAGATGGACCTTGCGACGAGCGCTGGTCGAAGTCATGCGGGCTCAGAAGGAGACTGCGCAGCAAGCACTGGCTGTACTACCGACACGATACGGACGATGCGGCAAAGAGCCAAGCTGGCGCCGATGCTTACCAAGACGACCGCGCGTTCAAGCGCGAGTCGATGTGACATATGCGCGTGGCGGCGTACCTGCTTGGCAGAAGTTGCGACGGGTCATGTGCTTCTACTCTCGATTTGGCACTGAAAGCCGACGTACTTGCTCTTGAACAGTGGGCTCTGATAGTGTGCGCTGTGGGCGGTCCCAGTCGCGATCCGGTTGGGTTTCCCGCCATTTTTCTCTCTTTTGGAGTTTTTCCTTGGTTTTGAGACGCGCCGCCCATCCAGAATACGAATGGAATTTATATTCTACTTGGTACAGAACGTGCACACACTGTCCATGTCTTATTAAATAGATTCCTCATGGCTTGGCGCGGTTTATAGGGGATACAGGCCGCGATATTGAGGTCGTTCGTCGAAATTGAAAAAATATTTCTCATTTTCCAGAAATTGAGTTTCAGTTGAAGAGTGAACGGATCGTTTGTGGTTAGTTTCCGACCCGCGATGAGCAGCAACAAGCACGCGGCCAAGACAGTCCAGGGCCCCGACCCGGTCCCCTCGACCCACGCTCCGGCAGCACCTGCCGACGACGGCCTGGCCGACGAGCCCACGCCCGACCACTGCTTCCTCGTAGCGTTCTGGGAAGAGGGCGATGCCACCATGATGGGGGTCGTCCGCCGCTTTCTCGAGTCGGGCGACGCCGAGAGCCTGGACCTGTCGTACCTTGGCCCGGCCGGAAGCGAAGAACTGGCGACGGTGCTCCGCATGACGACACCGCTCTCCCATTTTGCGTTCCGCTTCAACATGCCCGAGCAGCTCGAGCCCCTCATGGCGGTCGCGCCGGCCTTTACACGCCTCACGAGCTTGCTCTTGGCGGCGGGCGCCGATGCCATGCCTGCATATGCGCAGCTGCTTGCTCGCCTCAACGTAACACAGCTCCGGTCGCTGCATGTTACCTGCGGAAATGGAGATCCCAGTGATATCTCGGGTCCACTTGTGGTCCTCCCAGCGCTCGAGACCTTGACGGTGTCGTTTGGCCGCTTCCCCACCACAGGCATGCTCCCGTCGTCATTGCTTCCCCCGACACTCCGACGCATCACGCTGAACAAGATGGAGTTCTCGCCCGCGGCGTGGGGTGCGTTCGCGGTGCATGTGGCCGCCCCGTGCCTCCTCGACGAGATCGTCTTTTATGACTGCACCGTTTACATGGCCGGCGTCGAGTACCAAGTCGAGAAGTGGCTCGCGCGATGGCTCAAGCGCGGCCTCCGCAAGCTCTCGTTCGACGGCACCACCGAGCACGCTGCGTCGGCGCTCTTGCGGGCCCTTCCGAATACATCGAGCCCCGTGGGCGTCGTCCTCGATATCGACAGTGAGCTGTCGATGCAGACCTACCTGCTCTTTGGCGCCGCCCTCGCGTCGTGCCGCGGTGTCACGATCACGCTCCCGCCGATCGACGGGGACGAAAGCGTCGGGGCCGAGATCCAAGCCATGGCGACCAAGTACCAGATTGCGTGCCGCCATCAGAGCCTCCACGGCCGCGTGCACCGTCTCGCGCTCGAGAGCCCTGCGCACGCTGCGTAATCAATTTTTTGTTTTCGTATTTAGCATTCGTCGTCATCTTCTGTGTGAATGACATTTTACATGCCTGGAGGTTGTTGAAGGACAGTAGATGCTAGGTAGTATGGGCTCATCTGCAGGAGCATAAGCGTGCATAACCACTTTGTGCTTGCTCACAGACATGGGCGAGCTCTCAGGTTCAAGGGCAACACACGCCCGCACTACCCTACCCCTACTAGGAAAATCGCAGCTCTGGGTAGCTCCGCCTCGCGCATGTGTTGTCACCGGTCGAGTTTGTCAAGACGTACGTGTGCTTGTTGTTACACTGTACGAAGCTCTAGCGTCGGTCTCGCTGTGATGGACCTGAGCTGGAGCGAGGGATAGGGCAACAGAGATCGACCCGTCGAATCGCCAGTGATAAGATATACGAAAATATACATAGCACGTCCATAAATCAATGTAATCGCTCACTGCGCGGCTCGGCTCGGAGCGAAATGGAGACAACGTGGGATCTCATTACCAAATATTGAGTTGGAAATCTTCTTTTGGGTTGGATGGGCGGTTAACTATTCGATAGCCAGTTTGCATTCTCCAGCGCCTCATGGGTGACCCTGGTGTTGTTAATTGTTAAGAGGCAGCTCCTCAGCACATTTTTTATTGTGATCGTAAGCCCGAGAGACATCTACACGACGGGCAAGGGCAGTTGTGGTGTCGGTCTCACGGCCGCGGTCGTGCGCGAACAGATCACCAAGGAGATTGCACTGGCAGCGCGCTAGTGCTGGCCGCCATGGGCATTTGCAGCATCGACGAATTGATGAGATCACACGCTGCCCCAAGAAAACCCGAGGTTTAGGGCAGGGTACGTTGACCCCGTCCACCGAGTCCAAACTACGTCACATAGATTGCACGCTACCCCAATGCAAAATTTAATCAAAGAGCTCGACCAAATTCTGCCCCAAGAAAACACGAGGTTAACCCTGGTTTTAGTCTTGCGTCGTGAGTGCGTTGTCGTCGTCGTCGTCGTCGTTGGTCGCCACTTTGAAGCGTTTGTTGGACGACTCGACCGACGCCAAGACCGACTGGCTCGCGAGCGCGCGCAGCTTCTTCTTGTGGCGCTTGCCCTTCACATGGAGTGCAACGTCTTGGTCACTCAGCAGCTGAAGCCCGCATGCGTCGCAGAAGAATTGCCGGTTCAGTACGTGGCTGTCGTCGTAGGCGCGGTCCGGCGCGTTGGGGCCCACCGACACGTCGAGCTCGGACGCGCGGGCGGCGTATTTGGCCGTGTACTCGTCCAAGTACTCGCCAAGACCAAAGAGCGCAAACATCTCGCGGTTCGACTTGGTCGCTGCAATGTCGGGGACCTAGGTAGTATCAATGTATCAACGGGATCTTTTAACCGGTTTGGAGTACCGTGACGTGGTCGTACGGCAGCACGACCGACGGCGTCTCGAGGTGGTTGACCTTGGACGGGAGCATGCGGCTAATCGAGTACTTTGTGTTTTGGAACACATTGTCTGTCTCGGCCGCGACCTTGAGAAACTCGCGAATATTCTAATTTAATATCAATAATGAAACCAATGCCGAGTGAAACTCAGATCTCATACCTCGGTGTAGGGCAGAAGACCCTCTTGGCGAAAGCACGACGCGTTATGAAGGGCGCCGCGTGCGACGAGGACGCCGGAACAGCCCGTCTCGGCGCGCACGCGGGCAATGTCTTCCTGCGTGTAAATATCGCCGTTGGCCAAGACCGGCACGTTGAGCGCCGACGGAATCAATGGCAGCGCGTCCCAGTGCGCGTCGTCGCAGGGACGTTCGTGGGGTTGCCTGACAAACACATATGAAATGTGAGAATGGCCGTCGGTCACTGAAGAATCCAGTGGTACCGGCAGTGGATCGCAATGGCCGCTGCGCCCGCTTGTTCCATGCTTTTGGCAAAATCAATCTTTTCAAAACGACAATTTCAGTTTGGAAACATGAAATTTGGATTCGTACTGTCGCGCTCGGACTGTCTTTGATGCGGATCTTGCACGACACTGGGATATTGAGGTTCCGACGGAGTGTTTTGACAATCTACATGGAGAAATTGTACGAATGAAAAGACAAAGTATCCCGTGAGAGTGTGTCGTACGTCCGAAGCGACCTCGGGTTTGCTCATGAGCGCAATGCCCATCCCGCCTTGCACGGAAAAGTGCTTGGGGCAGCCCATGTTGATGTCGATGGACGCCACGTCGTTGGCGCTAATGCAGGACGGTATCGTACAAATCATTCCGCAAGCGGTCGTAGACGTACACTGTCTCGGCGGCCTTGAGCGCGGTGACGGCGCCCGGCGTCCCGATCTGGAAGACAACATGGTCCTTCTCTTCGGCGCAGGTGCGGAAGACGACGCTGTCGCCTTGGGCGCTCACATAGTCGATCGTCCCGAGCACATCTACGATATGTTCTTGCAGGTAGTCGGAGGATGCTGTGTGTCTACCATTGACGACGCGGTGCGTCTGCGCAATCTTCTTGTCGATGATCTCTTCGCCGTAGACGAGGTTGGCGCCGTAGCGCAGCGAGAGCAGCCGCAGCGGCAGCGTGCCCTACGCAGCAGCTCTCAGATGCCATAAGAGCGCAGGATGAGGACGTACGGCGCGGACCATCGGCGCCAAGCAGACTGCGTTCTCGTACAGGTTGGGTGCCATGACTTTGATGTTGCACTTGCGCGGTCCGAGAGCGTTTGGTGGCCGATGATTGGCGGGACCGCCCTATCGGCTATGTGGCACAGAAAGCGGTACAAGGATGTCCACTGGCGCCTGAGCGCTTGAAATAGTGTGCTTTTGACGCTGTCGACCCAACGATCTTGATTGAGCGGCTACCGCTAGGAGTAGCTGCAACCTGTCTTGGTCGCGCAAGGCGTATGTCCGAGGCCATAACGACGGGTGTTAGATGCTACCTTGTTGTTTTGACGTCCTACGACTGCTGTCAGTCGGGTGGAGATTGTAGAGGCAACAATACCGGCGCAATACCAACTAACTAAACTTCAACATGGAGTTTCCCTTCGATCGTTGTGGGTGGTAGTAGATAGAACCTACTCGTTTGGTGCCTCGAGGCTCCCGTCTCCCGCGCTTGAATGTGCTAGAGTTGACGCAACTCGCATGCGCCAGTCCCTAGGACCAGCGCCATTGTTCCCACGTTAATCGTAGAGACCGTCATCCGTGACGAGGTGACAGGGTCCACGAGGATGATGGTACTTGCCGAGGTGCCATACACTGTCTGTATGACTCGACACCCGACGTCACAGGTTTCCTCCGTCCAGCTCGCACAACCCCGAGCACTGTTCCTCGAAAATGCGAATGACGTTCGTTGCCCGATGTACCCTTGTCTCTACCCACGTCTTCCAATCGAAAAGGCGCCGAATTGCACCCACCTCGGTAGCACACTGGGCTCCTTCCTTCCGACAGTGGCAGGCGCACCGTCCTCGAGGGCATGGCGGGAACCCTCGCGAAGTCATCTCTACGTACACTGTTTCCAACTGTAGTCACAGAAATAGTATTATCTGTCGTCTATGAAAACAAGCTTTGATTATACTTGGGGTTTGTAAGCGACGTGCAACCAGGTGGCTCGTGCAGTTTTGTGAGTGTCGGTCGGCAGCAAGGTCATTGGACTTGGAGGCGAGACGACGATGGGCGGGAAGAAGATCAACAAGCAGCAGGACAAGCTGGCCAAGGCCAGCGCTTCCTCGAGCGCCCGCGCGGGCCAGCTCCTCTCTGGCGCGGCCTCGTCGGGCTTTATCGGCTTTGGGGCCTTTGCGGCTGCGGCCGCGCCGGCGCCAGCGACCTTGGCGTCCGCCGAAGATACGAGTTTGGCTGCCTCGACCACCTTCTCGTTTTATGATGGCGCGGACGGCGACTTGGCGCTTGCGCTCAAGATGCTCGGGAAGCGCGATGCGCTCACGAAGACCAAGGCGCTCTTGAACTTGAAGGACGTGATCGTGCCGAGCCGCAAGCCACTCGAGCTGCGGCCAGCGATCGGCCACTACTGCTACCTCTACGGGAAGCTCATGGCCGAGAACGACCGGCGCGTGCGCCAGCTCTCGAACGAAGTGCTCTTGAGCATGCTCGAGAAGATGAAGAAGGCGACAGTCTTCCACAACCATATTGCACTGCTCTTACCCTCCTGGTACGTCCTCGCCATGCATGACAACCACGTCGAGACGTCGCGCCTTGCCATGCGCGCGTTCCAGCTCCTCTTCCCGACGCTTCTCGACCAGCAAAGTGTGCTCTCGACCCACATGGAGCTCCTCACGACGACGATCCGCACGTACCTCGCCGCCAAGGTCGACGACCTCAGCGACCGCGACATGTACAGCGCCGACGAGGCCGAAGAGCGCTACGAACGCATCCTCACGTCGGCGCTCCTGAGTCTCGGCAAGCTCGTCGAAACGATGGCGCCGTCGTCGTCGCACCTCGAGCCCGACGGCCACCTGCACCACTTGCTCACATCGCAGGCGCTGTCTCGGCAAACCACCGCGGCTGGGAAGAGCCCAACGTTCTCGCGGGCCTGCGTTCGGCTCGGCGCGTACAAGGCGCTCACGTCAGTGCTCATGCACACGGCGATCGCGCTGGACGCCAAGGTCCTTTGTGCATCTATCTCCACCGCTATCACGAAATATGCGACATTAGGTGGTGCTCAGCACGTTCCAAGAAAAAGTCGCCAGCAACCACGATGCCATGTGGACTCTCGTGCTCTCGTTCGTGCAACGTTCGCCGAGTCTTCCGTGGGCGTCCCTCCATAGTGCAATTGTCCCCCGCCTGCTCTCGCTGCTCAAGCACGGCTTTTACGGCTCGGGCGCCGGCTCGTACCCGAACGTCCTACCGCTTCTCGCGTCCATGCCGCTGCCTCTCGCGTCCAGCGTCTACCCGCAGCTGCTCTCGGCGCTCTGGAAGGGCCTCGAGACGCCCCACGTCGTGCAGATTGAGAGCGACGTCGTCACGTCGTTTCTCGAGTGTCTTGGCGCGATGGCCACCATCTTCTTGTCGCTGCCGTCCTCGGACGAATTTGTCTCGGCCTTTGATCCGCCGGCGTATGTGCAGATGACGTTCGGGCCTGTGCTCACGAGCGTCCTCCCGGCCGTGCTGCGGTCGTCCATCTCGGACCGCGCCTTCGCTGCCTTTTCGAAGCACGTCTTTGCGCTTGTCCCACGCGTGACGAGCTTCCGCGACGGCCGAAGGACGCTGCTAAGCGCCGCCGACGAGCTCCAAGGCCGCTGGCTGCACAAGGTCATTGCCGTCCAAGACGCCTTTGTGACGCTCTTTCATACTACGCTGCATGTCGCATGCGTCGAGATGGTCGTGACGCACGTCGCGTCGACCGCCTTCTTGCCCGAGCGGCTCATCGGGCTTTTGGCCCACGCCCGCACTACGTACCACAAGCAGTCGGACTCTGACTTGGTCGCGACGTATCTGGACCCGCTCGTCAAGGCCGTGTACGCTGGCATCCTCGAGAGCATCGACGTGGCGCACCCGCTCTCACGGCAGTTTTTGCTGCTCGCGCAGCTCCTCGATGTCTTTGGCCTTGACCACGCAAGCGCCGACCCCGCGACGCAGTATACGTCGGTGCTTGCCCCGGCGCTGCCGCAGTTGCAGCCGCCCACGGACTTTTTCAAGCTCTTTTGGCACTACGTGCAAGCGCTTCCGGACCAGCGCTCGGCCATGTGGGACGATCTCACGCGCCGCATGGACATGATGGACGACCCGCTCTCGGCGGCGATCGCGGTGCGGTCGCTTGCGCTCAAGTCGGCCGACGCGTCGCTGGCCGAGTGGACAGACGGCGTCGCGTCGCCTGCGTCGCTCTGGGGCGTGCTCTGGACGAGTGCGTGGTTTGATAGGCACGTGAACGCCCTCTTGATTGATGGTGCGATGCGGCGCTGGACGTCGGTCGAGACGCTCTTCCTGGCGTCGTGCTGGGCCGACGCTGGCGTCCCCGTCGTCTCGAAAAAGACACTGGACGCGGCCGTCCTCTTTTGCGACAAGCTGCACGACGCGATGCCGGAGAACGTGCTCTCGCTGCTCGAGTCGCTCCTCCCGCATGTCGAACGCAGCGACAAGGCCATCGACCTCGTCTTGCACGTGGTGCGCGCGATGGACGCGGCGAATCCGACCACCGCCCACAGCGCGCAGTGCCTCTGGAACGAGCGCCTCTGCCCGCGCGTCCGGTCGTTTTGGCCGATGGCGCAAAAGACGCTGCTGCAGACGAAATGGGCGGCGGCGCTCAACGCCGGGTTTGCGACCGAGGACGCGGCGGTGTGGGCGGCATTTGCGAGCGCCTACTTGCATCTGGACGACGTGTGCGGGACGACCAAGTCGACGCTGCTATCGACACTCGCACCGCTCGCGACGCCGTCGTACCGACAGCTCGAGGTGTTTGCCGAGCTCTGCCACGTCGACCACGGCGCGCTCGTCCGTGGCAACGACTGCTTTACGAACGTGGATACGCTGCTGCAGCTTGTGTACCTCGACGTTGGCTTTGCGCTCACGTGGTTTACGGTCGACAGCACGCACGTGGCGCCGCGCGAGATGCTGGAAAGCAGCGTCTCGAGCAGCTGGCTCGACGCGTACGTGCTCCTCGGCCCGCTCTACGAAGCGCCGGTCGTGCCACTGCTGCTAACAAAAGCGCTCGCGCTCACCGAGGAGGCGGCGGCGCCATGGCTCCACGTCGTGCTCACGACCCACATTGACAACCCCGCGCTCAAGAGCAGCGTCGTGCTCGGCCACGGAACGGCGCCCGACAGCGCGCTCCTCCATTCGACGCTGGTGCAGCTCTTGGTCGACGCGCTGCCGTCGTCGCAAGTCGCGTCGATCGTCACGAAGGACCTTTTGAACCAGTACCCGGCGCACGCCTCGATCTTGCTTCGCCGGCTCGGCTCCGCGACGGACGTCTTGGCCGATGCCGTCGCCGCCCTGGACGAAGCGCCGATCGAGGCGCTGTCGACGCACGGTGCGTCCTTTGTCGCTTTGCTCAACTCGGCACCGAACGATGTCGACGTCGATGCGCTGCTGGCAAAATGGACGCGGTTGCTCTCGACCAATGGCCTGCGTCGCCCGCTCGCGATCGACGAGTGGACGCTGTTGTGCCAGGTTGCAACGTCCGTCTTGTCGTCGCGGCCGACCGCGCTTCGCCTGGCGATGCAGCTGCTGCAGAGTGCCTTCTCGGCCAAGCAAGATCAGTCCGACGTCGTTGGCTTCAAGATGCAATCGGCGGACGCAAGTGCGACGATCCTCCGCCTCCGGTCGACGCTGCTCCAGCTCGTCTCGGCCGTCGCCAGCACAGGACGCGACCACATGGACCTCGAGCTCGCACGGCACCACCGCGACGCGGTCCTTGCGACGTCGTTGCAGGCCGTCGCGGGTGGCCTCGCGACGCGTGCGCGCGTCCAAACGAGCTTTGTGCACTGCAACGACCTTGGCGCGTGCATCGACTTGGTCCATGACGCAATTGCGGCCGACACGGCGGTCGCCAACGGTCTTCTGACGCTCGGTGACGTCATCGCGTTCGTCGACCTTCCCGGTGACGCGGTGGCCGCCACGATTCTCAATGTCTTTAACGGCCGCGACGTGCTCTGGACCGCGCTCACCACGTCGGTCTCGCACCCGGTGCTCAAGGGCGCTGTCTATTCGCTGCTGCGCTTGACCAACTTGGCGGTCCTCGCCGATGCTGAGGCGACCGGTGTGAACCTGGAAGCCGACGACGAAGCCGCGACCGAAGCTGCGATCACGGCGCTGCTCATCACGCCGGGCTTAGCGACCGCGCTCCAAACGATTTCGACGACGCCGATGAGTGCGACCGAGTCGTTGGCGCAATTTTTGCTCTGGGACTTGTACCTGCGCATGTTTCCCGAGACGCCGAGCCCGCTGCTCACGTCGGCGCTGGGCGCGTACGTGCGTCCGCAGCTCTCGTCGCTTCTGCTGTCGTGCGGCGACCACATCAAGTCGATTGCGTTGTCCGAGCGCCATCTCGAGTCGGCGTTTCCGTCGCTGGCGACCGCCGCGACCGACTTCTCGGACCGCTTGTCGCCACTCGCGGCCGCGCTCTTCTATCGCACGGTGGTCAAACTGCCGACCATGGTCCGGCTCTGGTGGAACGACGAGTGCAGTCGCAGCGCGCGGTCGTGGGTCGCCAGATTCTGCGAAGAGGTATGGCGATCGATCTCATTCCGTTCGATGACCTTCGCTTGAGTAGAATGTCTCGCCGCTGCTGCTCCAGGAAGAAATCACGGCCATCCACGCCTCGTCCGAGAAGGACCTCTGGGACCCCGAGTACGGTCAACTGCAAGGACTATAGTCCACGTCTCGTAGAATCGATGCTGACGAAGCGGCGTGTAGGGAGATGACGGTCCGCGGCAGCAAAGTGTCGCGTGAGATCATCACGTCGTACATCAAGGACGAGTGCTCGCTCGAGATGGTCATTCGCGTGCCAGCGTCGTACCCGCTCCGGTCGGTCGAGGTCGAGTGCACCAAGCGCATTGGCATATCCGAAGAGCGCTGGCGGCGCTGGGTGCTGCAGATCATCAAGGTCACGTCGTCCCAGGACGGCTCGCTTCTCGATGCGGTCTTGCTCTGGAAGACAAACGTCGACCGCGAGTTTGACGGCGTCGACCCGTGCCCCATCTGCTACTCGATCCTGAACCCCAAGACGATGGGCTTGCCCAACTTGCCGTGCAAGACGTGCAACAACAAGTACCACAACTCGTGTCTCTACAAGTGGTTCAACCAGTCGAGCAAGAACAAGTGTCCGATCTGCCAGCAGCCCTTTTGTTAATTCGACTAAGAAGACAATATATACACCAGATGCAATTCAACGATCGACTATGAAATCGCGCACCAGCAACTAATGTTGGTGGGCGGCGCTCGCTGGGTGAGCGGGTGCTCGGACGAGCCGCCTACCGTCGCAGTATGATGCACATGACCAGAGGGCGGGCAGGTACTGCGCGTACCGGCAGCGTCGGCCGACCGCTTGGGCGGCACGACCGAGACGTTGACCGGCGTCGGATGGGTCGGGAACGACGGCACCTTGCTGTCGCTCAGCGTCTTGTTGTCCTGGAGCGCGCCGAGGCCCATGCAGATGAGGCGAATGCTGCTGAGGCACTCGGGCTTGGGCACATCTACGCCGGTGGCATCATGAGCTCGCGGGTGGCGGCGACCGTCGACGCACCGGCAGGCCACGCGGCGAGCAGCTGCGCCTTGACGTCGGCGACGTGCGCGGACTTGGGCGCGCCGAGCGTGACCTTGACGCCGTCCTTGTTGGCGAAGAGGAACTTGAGCTGGATGACGTCGTCCATGATGCGGAAGGCAGACTGCGATGTAGAACGTGCACGGAAGTCACAAATGTTTTTCCGTTTTATTTTTAGGTCCACGTACGAATTAGCGCTAATTCGTACGTCGACGCACGAATTAGGCCCGCGCCGCCCGTCTCTTCCGCGCTAAAAACGAGGGACACTGGCTGTCGCACGGACCAAAGTCAGAGCGAGTGAGCAGCACGAACGGTCGGCTCTCGCATCGACGTGTACTGTAGCTACCATGACAGGCTCCATGGGTTGGACGGAGCAGCTGACATTGCACCCAGAAGTTGATGGGGCTAGGGATCGCAAGTGCAAGGTCGTTCTCGTGGGTCCTTCTCATGTCCCCACGACCCAGCGATGACCGCCCTGGTTGTATTCGAGTCGGTAGCGAAAGTAAAGCACAACGTCGTTGCTAATTGATTCTCTACGGCGAGCGCTGGCAAGGCATATTGAACCAACTCGTGGCGGCAGAGCCGTCGAGCCAGTCGGACTTGCTGTATCCAGAGTTGCGAACCGAAGACGTTTTGCGGCAGTGACAGTGCTGGTGACAGTGTATAGCAGAAGCCTTGGCCAAGGGTCAATAAGAAATGAGAAATGACCCTTTCTTAGCGGCTGTGGATTCGTCCTCCCGGTCGATGATCGACGATCGCTCAGTCAAAGCCTTCGCCAAATTGGCCAACATGTTGATCAAGCTTATCGCTGCCAAGAGCACACTGCAGGAAGGTCTAGAATGAAGACAGTCCTATTGTAGAGTCATGAAGCGCGGCTACCAACATGCAACTGGCATTGGTAGTTGCCCATGCGTCCGGATGCGGCGAAGGTCGGGTGATCCTATAATATGCTGGAGGTTTCTGGAAAGTATCGAAATAGAGAGGTTATGCTCTCGAATTCATTTCCATCTTGCTTCCGTGGCATCAAGTCCAAGCAGCTCGGATGGACGGGCAGATGTACCAGCAGTCGCCGCTTCCGCGGGGACAGCCCTCGGGCACGGACCTCGCGATGGCCTTTGCCAAGAAGGCGTGGGCCGCGCCGTCGGTCCGTCGGCTCACGCTTATGTGGCTCGTCGGCCTCTTCCTCATGCTGCTGGCGCCGGCGCCGATCAAGGTCACGGACGAGATGAAGCACACGTATGAAGCCATGGTCGTCGAGGCAGCGCACGTCGAAGGCTATCAAGACGTGTGGAGCGAGGTCGTCGTGGCGCAAAGCGACTTGCAGGAGGCCAAAGTATGGTTCTGGCGTGTCCGCCCCGAGCACCGCCGGGTCGTGAACGAGAAGCAAGCTATCGTCGACAGCGCGCAAGCCAAGCTTGACGTCCTTGACGCAGCGCGCGAAGAGACGATGCGCCAAGCCAAAGCGTACGTTGGTCTGTGGTCGGACTATGGCCTCGACGAAGCCCGTGCCAAGTTTTGGAGCGCGTTCGAGTCGGGCAAGGTGTTTGCGTCACGCCGGACGTTCTGGCAGATGCTCTTTACGGTCCTCGACTCGCGTGAAGAGAACGTATATGGACTCGTCATCCAGTGGATCTTCGTCTCGATCATCAACTTCACGTTTGGCCTCATCGGCAGCCTCTTCTACTTCACCTTTGCGGTCATCTCGATGGTCTTTACGTACCAGCCCGACCCACTGAGCGCCACCGCGTTCGTTTGCCTTGCGCTTCTCGCAGCCGCGTCCCTCGTAGCCACGTACCTCCTCGGTATCTACGCCATGGCGGCGGGCGCGGTCTACGGCGTCGGCAAGATGGCGGCCAACAGCGCACGCCTCGAGCACGAGCGCCGCAGCCGCCTCCGAGGTGCCCACATGCACGACGACTAGATGATAACCAATGTCGACTACACATTTCTTCTTGAAGCAACGACGAGCTATACTAGCATCGAGGAAGCTACGCCAAGCCATCGCGAAGAGATCTTATCTTGTGTTGGCATGAGTGCTGAGCTCTGCGAGGCGTCGGAAGCGGCTTGACATGAGCGTGGAGGCATGCCACGTACCAAAGTACGAGTCAACGCGGTATTGAGTGCAGGTAGCATTGCTGTATTGAGAGAGGCCTGGGCTGCATTGACAGAGGCCTGGGCTGCATTGAGAGAGAGGCCTGGACCAAGTAAGACGAGCAAGGACTAGCGGCATGGCAGGCTTCAAGCCTTCGTCGGCGACGCTGGGCGGGGGCGACTGGCGGGGGCTTTGCATAGACTCGTTGCGACGGAAGGGTTCTTGTGTTTGATCGTGCTTATAAAATATCGACCCGCCCGTGTCGGCCACGGGTTTTACTCGGCGGCCGTGGCGTCGGTTGCCGTCTCAGGCGCGGCCTCTTCGACCGGCTCGTCCGCGACGACTTCGTCCTTCTTCTTCCAGTAGTCGTCCATGTCGTTGTCGAGCTGCTTCTGGGCGTGCTCGGCGCTCTTGTTCCAGTAGCCGTCCATCTCCTTGTCGAGGTCCTCCGTGGTCTTGGGCTTGGGCTTGTTGCCACGGCCACCGCGGCCACCGCGGCCGCCACGGCCATTGCGCCGGCCCTTGGCGCCGCCTTCCTTGCTGCCTTCCTTGGGCTTGGAGTACGGCTCGGCGCCGTCCTTGGGCTTTCGCTGGTTGCGCTGTTGGCGGGGCATCGGATTCTACTTTGACCACAGCCGCGGGCTCAAGCGTTATCCGTTTCCGGATAAAATATCGAATTATGCGGTGGACAGTTCGATCTTTTGCAACTTGACACGCCATGTTTTGAAGGACTTTTCTTCCGTACAATGTTGAAGTGGGCCATTTCGGCTTCAACCTGCCACTTCGATCTTAGTTGGACATACTGAACCGTGGATGAACGGTACAATAGTACGTAGGTGATACTCGGGACAAGATGTATAAAGTAGCTGCGGGTTTATAGGCGGACGGTGCAACCGAATTCGGCGTTGACCCGGCACCAGTGGACGGTGCTGCTTCAATTGCAGTTAATTCGTCCAAGAAACAGAAAGAAACGCCGCTACATCAGCATTTAAAATGTTTCCGTGGGCTCTGCGCTGCACGTTAAAGCCGTTCATAAAACCCGTCATCCCCTCAAAAACCAACAATAAAGTCATATTATCGGCGCTAAATGGATGTTTGAAGCCGCCATCGACGAGCTGATCGCCACCACACCGTCGTGGGACTATCTCCAACCCCCTAAAACAGCTTTCTCACCATTGGAGTTGAAACGACACGCTTGAAGTTCAAACCACTTGCAATATTCTAACCGCGCTGCGCCCGTTCACTTTTAGGGAATGCACCTGAGCTTCGCACATATTCACCAATTCTTCATGCTGCGATACGAATAAGAGCCATCGAAACACTCGACTCAAAAAAGAATTTCAGTTTGTCCAGATTCAGCCCAACGCGGAGATTTGTTTCAGCAAATATATATTGATACGTATTACATTTTTTCCATGCGTTTGCCAAGGCTCGCGTGGCCTAATGGATAAGGCGCTGCCCTCCTAAGGCAGAGACTGCGGGTTCAAGTCCCGCCGTGAGTGGCTTTTTCTCGTGTTTTCTCGATTTTTGATCGGTTTTCGTTGTGTTTTCAGTACAATTTTGTACACAAATGGCCGCGATCGGCCCCTTGTACAAGGGTAGGGACACGCACGATGCAAAATGGTTTGGTATAAACCGACTAGGGACCTTCTATCGCGGGTACGTCGAGGCGCAGAAAGACCTTGTCCGTCATCTTGTAGCTCTTCTTCTCGCCGTCATCGTACACGACAGAGTGCTCGAGCTTGGCCGGGTCGTAGCGCTCGACGCGACCTGCATACCACTTTTCCCGCGCCCACTTGACCTTGATCCGTGCGCCCACGAGAGCGATCGGGTCGTCGTCGCTGTCATATTGCACGTCGCTCGGCGCTTGGCCCGCGAGAAGCGCCCGCACGCGCGGCACAAACTTGGCGACGGACCGGTCGATCGTCTTGGCGAGCGCGGGGTGCGACAGCGGTACGTCCTTCCACGTGCTTGTCGAGTGGGGCTTGACTAGGACCGTTTTGCCTTGCTGCAGCCACCCTTGCGGACCTGCGTGCGCCTCGAGCCACTTCTCCGTCCACGCCCAGCTCCGCTGGTTCTCATACAGCCACGTACGCACCTACGCCGTCGACATTGACCGTTGTTCAAGCTCATGAAGTGTACCGTCGGAATGCGCTTGGCGATGCGGCACATCATGTCGATCGACGTCTCGGTCGCCTTGAAGTAGCGTTGCTGGGACGCAAGGAGCGCAATGAACTGCGTCATCGCATCGTCGAGGCGGTCCATCGCGAGGTCGTCGTCGAGCGAGAGCAGCACCATGAGCGCGCGAAAGTACGGCTTGAGTTCGTGGTGGTCGTTGCTCTCAATGGCCGCAAGCAGGACGCTCAGCCACGCCGACGACGTGGCCGCCGCCCCCGTGCAGAGCCGCCACACAATGCGCCGCCATGCGAGCGTCTCGTCGTTGAACGAGAACGTCGCGCCCCGACGCTCAAGCAGGTGGTGCATCCACGCACTCGAGGTCAGCAGCTCGATCGCCTCGGCCGGCAGCACCGCGTACAAGTCGTCCTGGCCGTACGCATCCAAAAGCATTGCAATGAGAGTCAAGAGCCGGCTTTCGTGGCGCTCATTTCCGCCTTCGTCTGCGTCCAGCAGCGCTTGCGGCAGCACCGTCAGCAGGTGGTGGTCCTTGACGAGCTCGTGGCAAGCGGCACTGCTCTGCGCCGCGTACGCATGCAAGAGATCGAGAACGACGGGCCGCAGAGTCGACAACTGCGTTCCCACACACTTGGCGACAAACGCTGACGCGAGGGCCGGCGTCGACGCGTGCTGAAGACTCACCCGTGCGACATGACGGAACGGCGCCATGACCACGTCGTCTTCGTCCACGATCACGTCGGCGAGCAGCGTCGGGTGGTCGACACTCGACTGCAAGAACCAGTCGGCGCCCAACGGTTCTTGGTCGTACAGCGCCGTCAGCATTGGTGTCCAGACGCCGATGCGGTCGACTTCGCGGCACTGCCAGAGCGTGCCAAACACAAAGGCGGTTGCAAACTGCAGCGCCTCCAGCCGCAGCGACGCCGGGGCAAACACCATGTTCGCATCAAAGCAGTTGGCCACGAGGTCGTGCGTGAAGCTCTTGCACGCGACGTCGGCCAGGTACTGCTTGCGCCAGAACGACCGGTTCTCAGCCTCGATGCTGGCGTAGATGGCACTGGGGAGCGGAGCCGGCGACGGCACCAACGCCCGACGCTTGAGAAGCCGCTTCAGAAACACAACAGCTCGCACGATCGATGCAAAGCGGCGGACGGGCGCCGGCATAGCCACGGGAATCGACGTCGCCTTGCGCGTGTAGAGCAGCATAAAGGCGCTTGGCGACCGGCGACCGTCGTCGTGCGCGCGGAGGCCGCCAAAGCACTCGTGCGGCAGCTGCGTCGCATCAAAGGGCGTGACGAGCGTGTCGTTGCACTCGACCCACGAAGCTGTCGCCTTGGGGTCGCGCAGGTAGCAGTAGTAGTGACCCGACTGCGCCGTCCCGACGTGCACGATCGCACCCGAGCATTCGTAGAGGTAGTACTCGGGCGCGCGCCACGCCATGTCTTCTTCGTTGCGGCGCCGTGCTTGGCCTTCCTTGGTGTACCTATCGATTCCCATTGAGATTGAGATTCGAGATTGAGAGAAAACGTTGGACCGGCGCATGTCGAGCTCCATGGGGAATTCAAACGCATCGTGAAGCTTGATTTGCTGCATCGTCTCAAAATCAAACTCAAATCGCTTGAGGTGGAAGACGAGGACGTTTGGCAGCGTATGGATTGAAATGCGCTTGTGCGTCTCGAGCGTCTGCTTGCCGTCATTCGGCGTGTCCCACGTGTAGCTCACCTACATCCATAGTATCCACGTTATCGCGCCAGATACGACCATATCTACCATGTCGCCATCGACCCACGAGTCCAACGAAGCCTCGAGGTGCGGCCGGTCGCGGACTTGGACCGAGACAAAGTGGAATGGCTCGAGGCGCTCGCTGTACTTGTCGCCATCGGCCACGAGTTCGTTGCTGAAGAGGCCGCCGAGGGACGCGTGGAGTTGCGTCTCGGCGGTATGGTTGCCGTTGATCTCCGACTCGAGCTGCTGCAAAAACGACGTCAAGAACTCACTCGCGTCTTGCTGCAGCTTGACGTTGATGGGCGACCCGTCGCTCGTGTGGAGGACGCTCAGCAGCGGCGCCGGCGAGACGTACGGCCGTGAGCTCGCACTCAAGTGGGCAAAGAGCGACTGGATCTGGAAGAGCAGCGAGTGCGGGCGGCTCGCGGGCGTCGAGAAGACGAGCGCTCGGAACGCCGGGATGAAGAAGCACGCTTGCACGACTGAGTTGAGATAACACGTGCACCCGAGGTTCTTGAGGCCGACAAAAGGCCCGCGGACCGTCGGCTTGGCCTGGGCAATCTTCTTCTTGTTGCCCTTCTTGGCCTTGACGGGCTTGGCCGGGTTGCGCTCAAACGAGTGCTGCGGTCGCATCTTGGCAAGAAGGCCAGCGAGCCCCGCACTGCCGGCATCGCAGAGCACCGAGAGCAGCTGGAACGCCAGCGCCCGGGCGCCCGCCGCCGTGCACTTTGGTTGAATCAAGTCGGTCGTCGACGGACGCAACGGCGCTTCCGGAAAGAGGCAGTGCAGGTACAGCTCGTGAATAAGGTCTAGTTGCGCCAAGACGGCGTCTTGGGCATCCTTGTTTGGCTTGAGAAGACACAGCAGCGTATGCAGTAAGCCTTCAAAGATGGGCTGCGCCGCCGCACCGGGGGCGAGCGATTCGAGGCGGCGAGCGAGGCGCAGCGCGGCCGACGCCGTGTCAAAGCCGTCGGGCACGCCCTTCTGCACGAGATCGCCGTACACGTACAAGAGATCCATGTGCACGATCGTCGGTGCGTCGTAGCCCGCAAAGAGGTTGATCGCGAACGAGAGAAGCGACGCGTCGACGTCACAGAGACCGCGGACACACGTCGCCGCGTCACTTCGAACACTGGCCGACGGGTGCTCGAGCGCACCGAGGACGACATCGGGTGCGTTTGGGTGCGACACAAAGGCTGGTGCCGCGCTCTTGTGCGCTGCAAGAAGACGCTGGAGCAGCGCGACGGCGTTGGCGAGGAGCCGGTCGCTGACGTCGCTTTCGTCGTCGACCAACGGCGGCACGGGATACTGCACCGTCGTCGTCGCCTTGGTCGCAACCGTCGACGCCCGTCGCGTCAGTACGTGCTGGGTCACCAAGACAATTTTGTGCACCAGGGCGTGCCACACCTTATCCTCGCCGGTCGGAGTCCACTCGAGCTTCTCGTGCAGACTGACGCTGAGCCACTTGAAGAGGCTGCGCCAGCACTGCGCGTCAAGCGTTCGAGTGACGGCGGCTGCGTCACCTGCGAGAATCAACTCGCAGACGTGCTCGGGGCCGCGCAAGCCCACAAAGCGGCGCATCCACTCGAGCTGGCTCTGGTACGGCTGGAGCACTTGGAGGTGGTAGAGCAGCAGTGCGCTCTGGCCCGAGAGCACGTCGCTCCAGTCGTCCACATGCAGCAAATGCACTTGCTCCAAGAGCGCTGTCTGGACGAGCAGGAGCGATAGGAGTCGCCACGCGGCTTCGGCGAGACGCGGGTGCGACACGAACGTCAGCAGCGTGCTGCGGACGTTGGCGCCGAGCCACGTCTGGACCGTCGCCCAGTCGCTCGCCGCGTCCTGCGTCGTCCACTGCAGCGGGTTGGACTTGATATGGCCGATCGTGTCGGTCTCGGGCTTCTTGAGCAAAATCACTTCGACGTACGAGCGCTGCGTCATCGAGTTGAACACGTTGGCGGCCGCCAGCGTCATGTGATTGTGATTGCGCACGCTGAGCCGCGTCTTGGTGTCGGTCAAAAGCCGAATGCCCTCGGCAAAGTGGCCGACATCGGCGGCGATGCGGTCGCGGAGCTCGCCGACGAGGCAGCTTTTGGGCACGTTGTAGTGCAGCGGCGGCGACGTGCGGCCGTCCTGCGACTTGATGTACACGACAAGGGGCTCGAGCGACGGCACTCTGGCCGCCGCGGCTTGCAGCGGCCGCGCGTGATGCAGGAACGTGCTCAGTAGATTCAGCGCGCGCGACGTTTCCATGGACGTTCCGACGTCAAGCGCCGACGCTGCGTGCTTGGCAAAGAAGAGCCACACATCCAGTCGCACGAGCCGCTTCACGCTGAGGTGCTGGAGAAGGTACACGATGTAGTCGCGGGCTGCTTCGCTCACATCGTCGTTGCCGCTGCGCAGTGCAAGCATATACAGTCGTCCAAAGCCCTTGAGTCGGTCCATTGGCGCATCGACGACAAAGTCGCGCGGCAAATGGGCGTCCGTGAGCCGCTGCGCATGGTGGTTGAGGTAGCGGAAGAGCCGCTCAAAGCACTCGAATTCGACCGAGGACGTCATCGCCGCGTCGACGCACACCGTGTCATCAAAGATGCGCTCGAGAACGTCGACTGTGAACGCACCGTTGCTGAGGAAGCCCATGGGCAACACGGCACGGCCCTTCATCGTCATTGCATCGAGGCACTCGGGCAACACGAGTTGGAGCCAGCCATAGAAAGCCGTGCGGTCGACCGCTGCCTGAATGTGAGCCAAGTGGTCAAACGTGAGCCCGAGACCCGAGTTGGTCAGCACAAACGCCAGGAACACCAGCGACTCGGTCGGGTGGGACGCGACAAGGTCGAGCACGAGCGACACGAGCTGGAACGACGTCTCAAAGCGCTGAAGGACGCTGTCGAACGGGTGGATCTTCATGGCATTCTTGAGCGACGAGAGGATGACCGCCGACGTGACGTTCTGCAATGCACTTTCATCGGGCGCCGCGCCGCGCACTATCGTCTCGAGCAGCGTCAAGTGCGTCGAGACGTCGCAGCCACGGCGCAAGCTGTCGATACTGCGGGCGACGTACTCGCCCAGCGTGTCGCGACGGCGGGTCGTCGACTCGATCGCGTCCATGTCGTGCAGCAGCGTCGTCAGTGGCGCGAGGACCTCCCCCGGGTTGGCCAGCATCGCGTGCCAGAGCAAGTCGACGCCCTTGGCCGCAATTCCATCGAGAAGCGCGCGGTCGTCATCGCCAATCTGCGCCTGGTGCGCCTTGCCGTTGGCAAGCCGCGTGATGCGCGTGAGGAAGTGCACCGTGAGCGCATCGTACGTGGCGACGTCGGTCCAGAGCTCAGCGACCGCACCAATGAGCGAGACGACCATCGAAGACGCCAGGTGGAGGAGCATCTCAAACACAGTTTTCCGCCGATAGGACTGCTGCGGCTTGATCGCGTGGGCCCAGAGCAAGTGCAAATGGTGGCGCGTGAGCTTTTCCTGCTGCGCGACGAGCAACAAGAGCGGGCCGGTGCGCTTCCACACTTCAATGTGCGCGTCCCGCAAGCCGACAGCAGCGAGCGTCGGCGCGTCACCCAGCACGAGGTCGAGCACGTTCGCGTCCAGAACCCATTGAACAAACGTCTCGGCGCGGAGCCAGCGCGCACAGACACTGGGTGGCGGCATCGTCGACGACGTGATCGTCATCGATGACGTGATCGAGGTCGACGACGTGCGCAGCATCGCACCAATCGAGCCGAACGACCCGATGCGCTTCTTGGGGATTGGCGTCGACGTCCGTGACGTGTGCTGCGCGAGGAACGCGTCGTGGCGCTGGGCCTTCTCCATCCAGTGCAGCAAGCGCGTGAGGCCCGCGAGCTGCTGCCCCAAGTACGGACAGCAGAGGTACGCTTTCGCGAGCCCGAGGTGCGCGAGTTCCAAGTGCTCGAGCACGTCGACAGTGTGCAAGACCCCAAAGAGCGTCTCCACCTTTTCCAAGAGCGCGTCCAGAAGCCCCGAGTCGTCCTTGATGAGCTCCATGTCGACGGTCGCGAGGCGTCCGAGGACCGCATGCAAGAGCGTCACGAGCTGCTCTTCGTCGGCCGTCGTCGGCGTCAAGATGGGCTTGGCGTGCAGGAAAAAGCTCAAATACCTAGTTCAACCACCAAATATCAACCAACAAATCGCGAAATATCACCGCAAATCGCCAAAAGCACCTACATGTCGACTTCGGAGAGCGGAATCGAAGCGTCCTTGACACGCTGCACGATCGCACGGTACCCGCCGACTTGGAAAAAGTACTCGACCGTCTCGACAAAGTACATGGAGCGACACGGCGCACTGCGGTACGCGCCGCTCGCAACATGGTCCAGGTACGTCACGTGTTCGAGGTCCGACGCCGCTTCCCACCCGACCGCATGCGTGTCCGGAAGGTAGTAGCCGTTGCAGCCGTCAAACCCATTGAGTAAGAGCTTGGCGACGGCCATAAAGTGCGAAGATGACACGCGGTCCTCGCTGAGTGGCAGCGTCTCGGCGCTTAGGACAAACGACGCCCAGTACTTGAGCGTGTGCTGGAAGAAGGACTGGAGACCATTCGCGACATCGAGCTCCCGACACGGCGCTGCGAGGACCGCTTCGAGAAACGGAAGTAGCGCGTCCGCAAAGAACGAGCGTGTCATGTCGAAGAAGCACGCGTCCAATGCGGTCTGCATGGTCGCAATGTCGGAGCGTCCGACGTGGCGCCGCGGCAAGACGCGCAGCAGCGGGTAGGACGGCGATGCGTGCAAATCTGTGTGCGTCCCAATCGGCGCCGTCCGAGTGCGCACGTGGGCGCTGGGCACGAGCAGCTCCTTGAACGGCGTCTTGTACCCGGGCAGGTGCACCAGCCACGCGTCCTGCGGCACGACCTGCGCGCTCGCCGCAGATGGCAGCGTCGTGTTGGTGTTGCCGCGCACTTGGCCGATGTACCACTTGGTTGTGACGGGATCGAGCACATCGACCCAGAGACCGGTGCCGAGCTGCGTCTTTCGGACGACCGCGGCTGTCGGCTCGCGCGCCTCCTCTTCGACGCGCTCGATCTCGTCGGACGTCGCACGGCGAAAGCAAATGATACCGAGGTCGATGTGCGTCGCGCCGGCCGCACACTCGAACGACGGCGGCACGTCGTCCATCGAGCGCACGATCTTGAGCTCCTTGATTGGCCGCAGCGGGTCCAGCGGTCGGTTGTCATAGTCGTACGTCGTCTCGGGCGTCGTCTCGCGCGTCGACGTCCACAGAAAGAGCATGTCAGCGTCGCTCTCGGTACGCAGCACGGCCTTTGGCAAGCGCGTAAAGCCGTCCGGCAGCGTCGCGTCGCGCCGGCCGACGCGGAGGTCGCGCAGCGGCGTCGCTGTCGCCAATGTCTTATACCATAGATACGTCTGCGGCGCGACCTCGGCCGCAACGCCGAGCGGACTCGTCGCTCGGTGGTACCCGGGCGGCCCGAGCGCCTGCCCGTACGTGATGTCCACGGCCCCGACCCACATCGCAAAGGCAATAATACAAAAACGTCGGCGGTCAATTAATTTATTGTATCGCTGCGATGCCATTGGCTGAAATTTGGCGCTGGGCTATCCTTTCAGCGCGCTCGAGCTCGAGCTGCCACCGTCATGGCCATCGCCGCGCCAGCTAGACAAGCCAGCAGCTAACACGAGGCTCGACGCTCGATGGGGCGAAAGGTAGGAACGCTGACGGGCGTCGCCGGACGGACGCCAACCCTGGTCACGCCGTCCACGTGCCACATGTTGCACCAGACGTCTGACGTTCGTTCGTTGTTGCACATGCTCGTCCAGCGCGTCACCGCCGACGACTTGGCCGCCTCTCTTCCTGCCACGTTCAGATACGTCCATTTCCTGGTGCTGCGTCATCTATTTTCCGGCGTTTAAGAGCCGATGCGGGCTTTGGATCGTTCCTTCTGGCGTTGGATAGTTGCATTGAATACTTGTATATTATCCTGCACGCATATCCATTTAACACAGCATCAATGGATAGTAGTGGCACTCGCATATTAGGACGCTGCACCAAACCGGCGCGTATACGCCGACGCCGACTGCGACGGTTCGACATCGGCGTGTCGATTTGCTGTGGGCACCAGTGGCGGCTGGAACGTGAACGCGGACGAGTACGCCGTGCGCTTGTGCTGCGAGACTTGGGCTTCGTTGATCTCCTTGTTGAGCCACGTAATCACTACTCGCAGCGCGGGTGAGCCAACGCCAAGTCATCGCCTCGCCAACCTTGCTGGTTGGACGCTAGGAGCTGTGTGCTCTCTTCGAGTTTTCGGGCGAGCTCGTCGTTCTTTTGCTGAAGCAGAGCGACCTCGTCGTCCTTGAGGTGGAGGTCCTTCTGCAGCGCCTTGACCAGATGCTGGTGCTCGTCCCGCTGGAGCTGCTTCTCTTCGACGAGCTAGCGCACACTCATGAGCACGCTGGAAGCTTATTCACGAGCAGCGTGTACCGTCTCCTGCTGCTTGAGGATTTTGGACTTCATGCGAAGCTTGGCCTTGTACGCGCGGTTCTCATTTTGAATTTGCTCGATGATTTGGTTGCCCTACCCTCGATGTGAGACATGTCGAGAAGGCGGTGTCTACCTTGTTGATCTCCGAGATGCTGAGCTCCAGCTTTTGCTGCATGCTCGCGTGGTTGGCCTTGTACATCTTGAGCGTCTCTTCAATCTCGTGCTAGCCCATGAAGCATGTCATGTCCATGCTGTCCATCAACACATGATGTACCTTGTGTGTGGTGGCCGCCGTCAAGAGGTCGGTCGTCTTGCTCAGTACGTGCTCCTTGTCGACAACTTGCTGCTGGAACGCAGCGATCTGCAGTTCGTACTGCGCAATCAGCTTGTCCTAACGTCACGATGCGTATACTGCATTCACAACGGACGAGTCGACCTTCTTGAAGACGTCTTGGTCCAGTGCTTTGTTCTGTTGCTGAAGCGCCGAGACGTCGGTGGTCGAGACCTCTTTCGACTTGGTGAGCTCGGCCACGTGCGCTTCGAGCTGCTCGATCTTGAGTTCGTACTGGTACTTTGTTTTTTGAAGTGCTTGGAGCGCGGCGTCTTGCTCCGCAACCTTGGCATTGAGCTTCTCAAGCTATAGATACAGCATGAGCGTGTCAGACGACGCAAGACCGATAGCATGTGCAAGGACGACGAACATTGTCTGTGGCAGCCGCTTGGATTGCCTCCATCTTGGACGTGTACAGGCGCTCCGTGTCCTGCAGCGTCTTCATCGCTGCTTCCTTCTGCGCCGTCATCTCTTCGGAAAACCGCATTTTCGCCAGTCCCATTTGCTCGGCGTGCAGCTGCGAAGCGTGGTCGGCTTTCTTTCGCAGCGCCGCCTCGGACGCGGCTGTCATGTCGAGCGTCGAGGTCGTCGCCGCCAAGTCGCGCTGGAACTGCCGCTTCTCGTTCTACACATGTCTAGATCGTCGGGACGTCCATACGTGAGGAGCGTACCGTGGTCTGACGGAGGCGCGCGGCAAGGTACAGCTTGATCTCGGCGTCGTCGCCAGGCTTGAAGGCCAGCGAGAGATGCGTGAGGTGCTTGAACGGGTTGGTCTCGACGATGCTAAAGATGCCCTTCTTCGCTTCGTCTTGCGTGTTGAGCACCGCGAGATAGCTAAGCGGCGCTTGGCCTTCGGGCCGTGTGCCATCGAGCTTCTTCTCGTCCAAGCAGCAGGTGAGGAGGTCCATAAAATTGGTCGCAAACTTGGGAAAATCCACGAGAAGGCGTTGCTGGTGCTTGAGGTCATGGAACTCTTCCTCCGAGACGCTCCAGACGTAGAGGAAGAACGACTCGAGCTCCTCGTCGTCAGTAATCTCGATGCGAAGGACGCGCTCCTTCTGGTTGCTATTGAGTGTCTACGCCAATGGTCAGCGACACAAGAGTAGACAGCCACTGCGTACGCGCTGGCCGGCGAGGAGGCGGATCGTCAGGAGTGCGACGCGCTCGTCACGGTCCGGCGTCTGGACAAGAACGCGGACCTTGCCGTCAAAGAGCGGCTTCTCGCGGTCGTACTCGTCCATCGGCGAGGGCCAAAAATGCAGGTGTGGTATGACCAGCCCCACGCATCGATGCCATTGGCTGAAAATCAGCCAATGGCATTTGATTTTTAAAGTTTGAAATCGCCGCCACCGCCGATCCTAGCACTGCCTCGTTCACATCGCTCTCTACCACGTAACGTGCTTGACCACGCCGCGGGTCGCCGTCCACAACGTGACCATGACGTCATGACACCACAGCATAGATGCCCAACATTCCATGGCACCGCAGCATAGATGCCAAACATCCCGCTGCAGAAAGCTGAAGCGTCGACTCCATGAGCTTGCACTCGTCATGCGTCGTCGTCCCAGTACTACCTCAGTACTTGAAAGATAACACAGAAACTATAAACCTCCGAGTTGCCACACACAACGCACAGGTGGTTCGAAAACACATAATGAATTTGCATTGCTCGTCACTCGCCATCTCCTTATGCGTCGTCGACGTAGTTGGTGACGTGCTTGACGCCGAGGTCGCGTGCGATCCGCGCATCGTTCTCGTCGGCTTCGATCAGACTGTCGTTCTACCGACACAAACATGAGACGACGCCGCAAGACGACAAGTCGTACGTGGCGCTGCAAAATTTCGCGCTGGACCGAGGTCTCCAATTCGGCTACAATCGCCTCAAAGGTCGGCCGGTCCTTCGGGTTGTCGGCCGTGCAGCGCACAAAGAGGTCCCGGACGCTGTCCAAGCAGTGCGGGCTCAAGCTCGGACGCAAATGCTCGTACGCCACCTTGTGCAAGAGCGCGCTGCCCGGCATCTAGCCCATGGGTTGAGATACAGAAAACAAACACGCAATAAGAATGTACCCGCTTCTTCGTGCCCGACTTGACGTCATGGTACGGGATCCTCCGCGTGTCGAGCTCCGACAAGACTAGCCGCAACGGTGAGTCCATATACGTCGATATGTCGTACCAATGCCAAAGCTGTAGACGTCCGCCTTTTCCGAGTAGCGCTCGGCGCGAATCATCTCGGGCGGCAGCCACAACGGCGTGCCCGTGACGCTCATCGTGTCATCCATGGCCTTTTCGCGGCTCAACCCAAAGTCCGAGATCTTGGCGCCAAACGACGAGCTAGCAGGTGTTAACGTGAGCGTTTGACGTAGTAAATGGTAGGAATACCTCACGAGGATGTTCATGCTCTTGAGGTCCCGGTGAATGATCGGCGGGTCCATGCTGTGGAGGTACGCCATGCCGCGCGAGATGTCGATCGTCATGCCCCACAGCGGGTGGTGCCACGAGAGCTGGATGCGCGGGTTCTTGAGCACCGAGTAGAGATCGCCGCGGTCGAGAAACTCGGTGACAAAGCAACTACGACATCGTCAGAGCCTCAGTCGCCATCAAATCAAAGGACGTACATGTTGGAGTACGAGTTCCAGCTGGCGCCGATAAACTAGCAAGTCCGAGCATTTCGTGGAGGCAATCATGTTGAACGACGTACCTGGACAATGTTTGGATGGCGGAGGTTCATCATGAGCTGGATCTCCTCGGCGAACATGCGCACGTTTTCCGGGTCGATGTTTTGGCGCACCATGCGCTTGACGACGACGGGCGTGCCATGGTACGTGCCCTTGATGACTTCGCCAAATGCGCCCTTCCCAATCACCTTCTGTAGCTTGAGCTCCTTGAAGTTGATGGCCGCCATGCGCAGATGGATCTTGGATTCGAGAATCGACTCGACGACGTCGCGCTCGCCTTCCTTAAAGTCGCTGAACGGAACGTTCTGCGCCGTGGCCGGCGTCGTCGGCTTGGGCAGTGGAAGGTCTTGCCGCTTCGGACCCGTGCTGACGGGCGCCACGACCGCGTCGTCCTGCGGATTCGACGGTCCGCGCTGCGAGAGCTCGACGCGCGCCGGCGGCGGACCATGGCGGGCCGACGTCGTCGTCAAGGTCACGGCCTCTTCGGTGCTGTGGCACGCGCCCATCTTATTCTTGCTTGCGGCGACCGATTGCTGCGGACCGAAACCTCTTAAAATCAATACCCAGATGGTCAAAGTGCCGACATCGATATAATATAGGTAAAATCAATTCCAATACAATGAATTCAATATGCATGCATATTAAAATACTCCGTAGGTATAAAAAGCAACAGGTTATACGTGGCGCACGTAATGCGAGATCCAGTTTCGCAGTGAGCAACGCGGCAGAACGCTTGGACTGTGTTTAAACGCGTTTTACATGGGCCAGCAGCAGCGCGCTGCCACGACACCCGATGCACAATCAAGCACGTCTGGTCGGGCCCGTCGAAGGACGCAGCTGCGCCAAACAACGCTGGACACGATCTTCGCAGTCTCAAAATTTGGATTTTTGGCGCCGACCAATAACTCAAATTCGAAGCGCCAGCTCCAGCTCCGCTGGCTTCATTCTCGTTGTGGGCTCTCGAGACGCTCACCATCCGTCGCAGCTGGCTTGCTTCGTTTAGCGGTGCTGCGAGTCCCAGTCCAAAGCGTACGCTGCTTCGAGTCATGGTACTGGCGACAGCGCCTCAACTCGGATCACTCGAACTTCTGCAGGATCGGCTTTGGCTACTGCTGGCGACTTCACGAAACAGAGTCTTGGCCATATCTTGTCAATGGATCGCTACTCTTCGATACCTTGCTATGGTAAGCACTCTCCAAACGCTTTCTTTGGACCAGTGCCCAATGTCAGAGATAAAAGCGGTGCCAGACGAGCGTCATTATTCATTCAGTTGTCCACTTGCTTGTGGCTCCCATTAAATACACTTATTCATAATAATCTAATAAATCGGCACGGCCTCAGCCGCCGAGTGCGGACGGCGACGCAAGGTCGAGTGCGTCGTTGTACACGTCCGTCTCGAGGATGTCGAGAATCTCTTCAAAGCGCGGCCGATGGCGCGGGTCGGACGCCACGCAGCGCCTGTAGAGACGCTGCAAGCTCTCCATTGGTGTCGACGACAGCGTCGGGCGCCGTTCGTCGAATAAAATCTGATGCACGAGCGACGTGTCTGTCTCGTCGACCGGCAGGGCGTCAAGGTACGGCGTCGCCCGCGTGTCGAGCTCGGAAAGCACAATCCCAAAGCTGTAGACGTCCGTCTTGTGTGTGCAGCGGTCGCCGCGGAGCATCTCGGGGCTCATCCAGTAGTACGAGGTGTCGCGCGGCCGAAGGACGCCTACGTCACGGTCACGCCGCAGTGCGAAGCCCGAAATCTTGGCGCTATAGTCCCCACTAGACAAGAGCAATGAGTGTGCCATCGACTACACTGGCAAATGGAATGGCGACCCGATGCGAATGTTGGTGCTCTTGAGGTTGCGATGCAACAGCGGCGGGGAGTGGCCGTGCATGTAGGCAAGCCCGCGGGCGGTGCCGATCGCGATCGATAGCAAGTGTGTGTGCCACGAGAGCTCGATGCGCGAGTTACGTAGCAAGCTGGAGAGGTCGCCACGATCCAAGTACTCCATGACAAAGCAGCTACACAGAATGAGTCGTGTGTCGAACGGTGGAGGCGCGTACGCTTTGAGCGGCGAGGACCAGCTTGCGCCAATGCACTAGTCGCACGTCAGCAGGACATGGCGAGATGACGAAGCGTACCTGGACGATGTTGGGATGGCGAAGACTCACGAGCAAGTGCAGGTCGTCGGCGAAGAGGCGGCGTGTCGCGCGGTCGATCATGGGCGGCATGTACTTGACGAGCACCGGCGTGCCGTGGTACGAGGCGTGCTGCACGTCGCCATACTTGGTCTTGCCAATCACGGCGGCGAGCTCCAAGCTCTCGAACGGGATCGCGACAAGCGCGTCGTATTTGTCGCTTGTGAGAACCGAGACGAGGATGCTCCGTGGGCTGCACGCATACATAGTATCGCTGGGCAGTGTCGGGTCGAGGCTCGTGAGCTTGAGCTTCGGGCGCTTGAACGTGCGGCGAAGACAACCTGAGACGCCGCGGCGAATGCGGTCGGGGGGCGGCTGCGCGGCGTCCGAAGACGGTCCGGCGCCCATGCTGTGGGAAGAACGCGTTTGGCACGTCACGCTGTTGGTGCCGGAAGGGTTCGGATAGAGCGCTGAGACAGTGGTCGTTACGCGTGCGGCGCTGCTTCTGCGGTGTGGTATGCACCCCCACCAATTGCCCATCCCGGTGATGGTCCACAACATTTGGCGCGTTTTTCATGCCACGTGGCGGCATGCGGCGATAGAACGCGACGTTTAACGCACTCTCGGGCCAGCGCGGCGGCCAGATTCGATGGCCCAAATTTCCCTCAAATCAGACGCGCAGGTGCGATGGCCAGCGTACCGTACGCGCTTCCGATCCAGCGCGGATCGAACCAGGCGTGGTTTGCCAGAAGCGCGTGTGGTCGTTCGAAAGGCAAGCGACTTGCTGCGTTCTCTGGAGCAGTCGGTGCCTGCGCTGCTTGCGCTTGGCTACGCGACACGAGCGGGAAAGCACCCATTGATGGCCGTGCGGTGGATGCACAAACACTGTCGTGTGCAAGTTGAACCCACGCGGCTGCTGGGAAAAACGATTAACCCGGCGTTGAAGGCAGTCAAAGCGCACGCACGCCAACGAGACACGTCCGTCGGCGCCTTTGTTGAGCGGCTACAGAGGCTACAGGGGTTGGAGCTGCCAAAGGCTTGTACCGGTAAGCGACTCGCGGCTGCGGAACGGAGTCGTGATGGCAGCCGTGGTTGGCGCCCAGTGCAACTGCTGTCGCCATATTTGATTGACGATGCATCCAGTCGATCACTTGCGAAGGGCGCCATTGTTGAAGCTCGACGACGCCATGGGGCGGACGAGCTGGGCGGACGCTGCATGTTGTCGAGTCTGCATTTGGCGCTTGGTCGCAGACAGTCTAGCTCGACGGAGCATTGATTGTGCAACCGAGCGCACCAAGGAGCGTCCTCCGAGGACGTCCTTTCGGCGGCGTGAGTGCCTTGGGGGCAGTAAAAAGATGCCTGCAACGCGCTGTTACGCCCTGCCTCGTGTCGCGGATGGCTAAGACAAACCATTAGCACACAAGCGTGTGCTTGATGGCTCATTAGTCGACGAAGATACACGAGTAGGAACCACCGCTACGTCTCTCGTGTACTGTTGAGGGTTGACACATACACGTTAAACGCGTTAAACGAGTCAACGGAAACCAAGTGGTTCGTGCGCAACTGTCCCTTTCAGAGCTTTCAGAGCTGGATTAGCCAGCGGATGAATTGGCAATGAGAAGGATCACCGTCATTCCAAGTGCACACGATCGCCCACAAGCTCGTAGCACCCTGCTTCATGTCCGAGGTTGTGCCTCCTCGCCTCGTGGCCCTTGACGCCAGCTACAGTATTCACCAGCGTTACCGAGGCGCCAAACAAAGAACGTTGCCATCAGGTCCGATGCTCGGTACGAAGTCAATACTAGTGTGACCCTCTCGCATATTGTCGAGCAGATCTTATAGCTTATAGCGATCTTCCCGCGAGGACGTGGACACGCGATCTTTGCGCGGCCCCACCGGATATTGACAGCCTACTTATCCGGATAACGACCAAGATTCTCGGAATAACGAAAAAAGCCCGACCGGCCGTCAAGATGCAAGGCCTCGACGACGAGTTCCACGAGCCCTTGGTGGACGCGCCGCCCCGCGTGTCGCCCGCCAGCGCACCGACGACCGCTGGTTACGCCAACGCGCCCAAGCAGGTCAACGTGCCGTACGGCCCGTCCACGGCGTACACGGTGCCGCAATACGACCCATCGGACGCGTACGCAGGCATGGAGCATGGCGGTAGCAGCTGGCCGCGCGGCAAGACAACCTCGGATCGCTCGGCGCTTGGCGCACGCCTCGATGTGTGGGTCAGCGGGATCTACACTGTCGTGGCCGCGCTCACGATCATGCAAGGCTTTGGCATCATGCTGCACTTCAGCATTTCGGCGAGTTGGTCCTTTTCGCTTCGTCCTTGAGCTCACATCTTGTCTAGTGCTTCTCGGGGCGTACCTCATGGCCTTTGGGATGGGCCTCATCTTGTACGACCTCAAGAGCGTCGTATACGGCGTGAGCCTCGAGCTTTGGTTCCCGTTCCTAGGCAACTACCTCGGGCGCGGCTTTGTGCTCCTCTTCCTCTACGCGCTCAACGCGCAGGATTTTCAGTTCTTCCAGCTCCCGACATGGATCTCGGTCCTCGAGGCGATTGCCGCCGGGCTCCACTTTGCCATCTTCAGCACGACGCAGCCGCAGTAGGATACGCCATATGCGTAGGGCCCCCTACGTCCATTTGGAATGTGCGAATATATTTGTGTTGCAAATTGTATGGAAAATGTCGAAAATAAAACGGGGTCGAAAAAGTTAGGGCGAGGCAGAGGTGCATTTCGCAACCCGTCGAGAATGCTGCAAGACGACGCGCGCCGCTGGCTGGCCTCGCCGCTGGTCGCGCTCCATCTCTGCGCCTCCGTCGAGCACGCCGGTGCTAGCATCCTCCAGATGATGAGCGCATACGTAGTCTACACGTGGCTTGCCGCCGACGACCGCGACGACCCCGCGAGCTTTGCAGCGCTGCCCGTCGTCGGCAAGGGCGCGCTCTTGGCCTGCATCGGCCACGTCGCTGCGTTCGCCTCGATGCCGGCGTTCATCGCGCTCTATCGGTCGTTCAAGTGGCAGACGATGACGTACATTGGACTCAGCGTCGGGCTCACGGCCCTCGCGCTCGCATGGATGCTCATGAGCATCACCAACGTGCTCTCCATCATGTTTGTCCTCCGCGCGCTCGGCGCCGGCGTCAGCGGCGTCCTCGTCTCGAGCGTATCGGCCGCGCAAGAGTACCACGGTAGCGTCGACGTGCAGTCGCTTCTCCGTCCGCATTTTGGTCGCGTCATGAGCGCGCTCTTCATCGGACTTTGCGCCGTCGTCGACGTGGCCCAGGACCACGCGACGATCCACATATCGTTCATGTCGCTCATGGCGCTCTTCTGCGTCCTCTGCGTCTTCCTCCTCCGCTTCTTCGTTCGCGCCCAGCGCAAGGCGCTCAAGGACGAAGAGAAGAACAACCTCCTCATCGACGACATCGAGATGCCCGCGACGCCGCCTCCGGCAGTGCTCGGGGCGCCGCGCCCGCACTTTAACGACATCCGCCGGCTCTGTCCGCATTATCTCTACGGCGCGACGACCGCGGGGCACCCGATCTGGATCATTCAAGCGGGGCTCCTCGACGTCCACGCGCTGCAGCAAGCGGGCTTTACCTCGTACTGCCTCAAGGACCACTTTGCGTACATGCTCTCGTACCTCCGCAGCACAAACCCATCGACGCTCGTCGTTGTGCTGGACCTCGACGGCCTCAAGCTCATCGAGACGCAAGGCTGGACCATCGACTGGGTCTGCACGATCGTGGCGCACCTGCAGCGCTGCGCCAAGGACGACACGCTGTGCCAGCTCTACGTCGTGAACGTTCCATTTTGGTTTTCGTGGGTCTGGAAGACGATCCGGTCGCACATTGCCGATGCGACATTGTCGAAAATTACGTTTTTGAAAGCCAAGCCCGGCTTCCGCAAAGCGACGCTCGAGCCGCTGCACCACGTTGTCGGCCGCCTCGCGCTGCTCCCGACCATGTACGGCGGCGAGAACCCGATTGCGCTCAGCGAGACGGACCAAGAGCTTGCACTCGACGCCCACATTACGTCGCTCAACGCGACATTAGAAAAGTCGCGCGAGCTCATCTACAGCGATGGCAGCGACGACGAAGACGCCTTCTTTGACTGCACGCCGGTCGTCGACGAGACACCAACGGCAACGACGATGAGCAGCGACGACGAGTCACCGGTCCTCCGCGTCTTTGTCGCGCCGCCGCCCGCCCGCATCTTTGTGCCGCTCCTGCAAAGCACGAACCGGCAGCTGCTTGCGATGCTGCGCGCCTACACAATGCACGTGACGCTCCACGTGGCGTTTGATGCGCTGTACCCGATGTGGGTGCTGCAGCACGCGTCGGATTCAGCACCCTTGACACGTCTCGGTCTCGCGGCACTTGCCACGGGCGTTGCCTCGGGCGTGCACCTTGTTTTGCGGCATGTGCCGCTTCCGCCGATCGATCGACTCTTTGCTCTCCAAGTGGCGGTGTTTGCGATCTTCCCGCTGCTGCTGGTGCTCGACTCGAACGTCCTCTCATGGCCCATCGTCGTCGGCTTGCTTTTGGCCAAGGCGGTCGTCCAGGACGCTACGACGCGGTATCTCTGGCGTCGCGTGTGCCAAGCGGCGTGTCCCGACCACAACGCTGAGAGCAATGAAGACAACATCCACAAGGTCCTCGAGCGCACGCTCGTATGGCTCTGGCTCCTCGCCAACGCCTGCGGCAACCTCGTGCCGCCGATTCTAGTGGCGCTGTTGCAGCACTTGTGGGCGGGTCATGTTCGACTCGCGCTCGCTGCCATATACTGGGGCGCGGCCGCGCTGATCGTGCTTTTGTATATGCGTGTGCGGCCGCAGTTGCACCATAGCGTTCTCGACAGGATCGTGTAGACGTGTGTATCCCTCTAAATTATAGCATGCTTGCTTGGCTCTTGAACTGTTATTAAGCCGTACTCAGAGTATTCTTCGGGGGTTATGGACAGGTACAAATAGCAATTGTGTTCCTCGCTCCGACTTGCTTCTTGCTGGATCGAGCCAGGTGTTCCGCGTCTGCGCTTTTGGCGCCGAGTTCAAATCAATTTCCGGATAAGGGAACCGTATCCGGTTGTTTGCAATTCAAACGCGTCAGAAGGTGTCGGAAGAGGCGTCAAAAGGTGTCGAAAGGAGGATTTCGGCCAAGGGCGTGTAATTATTGGCTATTGGCTAATATGAAACTTTGTATTCGCGTTTTAGTTCAAAAAACGCACGGGACGAAGTTCAGGTGGGCAGGCGGCGCCGGCGCAGCAACTAACTAACGACGTACTTGTACTAGGCATGCAGCGTGAGGAACTAGGCGAAGAGCAGAACCCCAACCTGCAGCTCCAGCAGCTCCAGATGCAGCAGCAGCAGCTCCAGCAGCAGCAGATGCAGCTCCACGCGTTCTGGCAGTCGCAGATCCACGAGATCTCGCAGATCGACCCGGAGGTCCAGGACTTCAAGACGCATCAGTTGCCGCTGGCGCGTATCAAGAAGATCATGAAGTCCGATGAAGACGTTCGCGTACGTCCTCTATCTTATCGCTGTTGCATGGTCGCTCAGGCCGCACGTAGATGATCAGCGCCGAGGCGCCCGTGCTCTTTGCCAAGGCCTGCGAGATGTTCATCTTGGAGCTGAGCCTGCGGGCATGGATCCACACGGAAGAGAACAAGCGCCGGACGCTGCAGCGCAACGATATTGCCATGGCCATCACCAAGACGGACACGTTTGACTTTCTCATCGACATTGTGCCCCGCGAAGACATCAAGCTCCCGGGCAAGAAGGTACCTACGTCCTGCGCCATATCAGGTTGCTCACGCTATCAAGTAGGAAGGCGCGATGGACCCGCAAATGGTGTACCAGCAGCAGTTGCAGCAGCAGCAAGCAGCCATGCTGCACCAATTCATGCAGTCGCAGGCGGGCGGCAACCCGGCCATGTGGCCGCCACAGCAGCTTCAGATGATGCAGCACTACCAGCAGCAGCTCCAGGGCATGCAGCCCGCGGCCGCCGACGGCACCGCAGCGCAGCAGGCGACGTCGACGCAGCAGGCCAACCAAGCGGCGCGCAACGGCGTCGACGTCTAAGCCGGCGTGTGTATATTTCTGCATCTTCAACTTCTTCTACTAGCTAGGTCGTAGCCCGTGTCATCTTTAATACTACAGAGCTTTCCCTCTAGAGCTCGTGCATCGCATCGGCCTTGGGGTGGGCCGCTTGGATCTTGACGTATTGGTACGTGGCGACGCCACCGAGCGCCAACGCCATCCCAAACACCGAGACGAGCCGGATCGCATTCCCAAAGTAGAGAATCGCACTCAGCACGATCACGACCCGCTTCATCGTGCTCATGATCGAGTACGTGAGCTCCGAGACCTTGCCGAGCAGCTAGTACAAGGTCAGCATCCACACGCAGGACGCGTGAGGTACCAAGGAGGCGGCAAAGCTCGAAATGAACTGGCATGTACTGCAGCACAAGATCAAGCCGTACGGAACCCTACGCAGCACGCGTCGCCATGAGGAAGCGGATTGCGCAGGCGCCATGGACGTACGAGGTCGGAAACATGGTCTTCTCGGCGCTGTTCCAAAGCAGCATCGGCATGTTGACTGCGATGCAGAGCATGCCATTGTAGAAATGAAGCTACATAAGTTGATGCAAGCCTCTATAAGGACGAAGAAAGGAGAGGGCAGAAGAGACGCACGTTGATGCTGTCGGCGACGATGCCGCTGCGAAGAAGGTACTTGGCATACATGCTCTACAGGTCATCGTCGCACGGATGCTGATGGTGATCGTCTTGCGGAGTACCTGCATGACTCCGAACATGGACGACGAGACGGCGCAGAGAAGGCCCACGGTTGCAAATTCCTACGGGCTTGTCAGCATCGCTCTATGGAGGACAAGGACGTTATGCGTACGTTGATCTGGACTTCAGACATGGACGCGAGCGAGACGCCGACAACAATCGGTAGCAACGAGAGGTAGATGGGCAGCGCATGCGTCGTGCGGTACACGAGGTAGGCGAGGACGACGTTGAAGAGCGGCGTCGACGCCTAAGTCGCTTTCGTCGTTGCCTCCTGCGTGGCGTCGTAGAGGTACCTTGCACGTGTGGGTGAGCGCGACAGGCACCTTGGAGTAGCTCCAGTACGTCAAGATCTTGGCCGCGATCGCCATCATGCTGAGTGGCAGCATCGAGAGCACACTAGAAGCCATGATGAATGAGCTCAAGATGGCAGGCGCATCGATCTCGATCTCGAAATGTAAGCGTACTGGTCCAACTTCATCGGGCGAAGATACCACACCTTGTAGCGCGACGTGGGCGGGACGGCAAAGATGGCCGCTAGCGCCCAATGTCACACCAAAGCCGAGCGATTCGGCGTACCGTCAAAGCACGTGCCGAGCGCGAGATGGCACACGGTAAGCGCCTCGGCCGAGAGGCCATGCTCCTTGATCAAGATCTTGTTGATGAACGTCGCGCTTGTCGAAAAGGTGTACCATGCCAGCATGTACACGATGGCCTAGCGTCGTCTATGAGGCTCGCCCGTCGTCATGGCCACCGGCGTACCGTGGATGGATTGTCCGAGGACCAGCTGGCTGACCGCGGCCGCCCCACGGGCATGACCGGTGCATACGCGTCGATGGCGACGACCTTGGTTGGGCCCGTCGTCTCCTTGGTCGGTGCCATTGGCCAAGATTCCGCAGTGTGGAGTTACTGCGACGGCCACCATCTTCGAACTTCGGTATGGCTGGAAACACCCCATTTGACCAGACAAGAATCATCGCAATGTGCGCTTCTACTAGAGACCTTGACAAGACTGGCAGCGACGCTGCATAGCGTGCAAGACGCACGCACGAGCGGCGACAGAGTCCACGCGGCAAAGTCCTCGATGCCATCGCGTGTTGCCGAAGCCACCGCGTCACCGATGGTCATCGAAGATCCGGATAACCATCCGCACGGGTTGAAGGCAACGAATGACGTGGAGCGCCTGGGTGGACCGGTCCCCCTCGCCGCAAGTACAACCAAGCGCAGACGGCTCTAGCCTTCGGTACTAGTACCATAATAGGAGGTCTTGCCAGTGCCACAGCAGGTGTAGCTCGGATCCATCTCGCATTGCCGCCAGGTCGTGGTGTAGCCCACCACTGCGTCGGCTACGTAGTCCAAGGATCGACAGCCAAGTATTTACATTCTCTTGGCAGCGCATCGGAGCTCTTGGGCTAGTTTATACTTGATGCTGTTTAGTCGCATAACGATTTGGCGCGAAACGGTAGCCACGTCAGAAACGAATGCCGCGGATTTGCCCGGCGGATAATGACCCACCGCCGCCGCCGCCGCTGACAACGTCGCGGCTGAGCTGGCGGCGCCTGCTTTTAACGCTCATCTCGTACACGCTCTTCTTCACAGACGTGCCGCGGAGCGGGTATGGGTTTGCGTCCTTCCCAAGTACCTACAGTCGCCACGCACCCGACTCGGCCTCGTACTTTGGCCCGTACGCGTACCTGGTGCTCAACATCTCGCGGCAAGACAACGGTTTGCACCAATAGCTCTCTACGCTCTCCATCACGCGCTTTATAGGCTCGCTTGCAGGTCTCGCGTCGTCCGGGCCCACCTCGAGGGCGCTAGTGTGGAGCTACAAGTTTGATACGACCTCGATCGGTCTCCGCGGGCTCGTCGCCGTCCACAACATTTCGGGATGGTATTCTGACCACGCACACTTGATGCGAATGCTAAGTGTCTACTATCTGGTGAGGGACCCGTGCTTGCTGTACCAGTCGACGTGTCCCAACTTGACGCTCAGCGTCGCATCCGTGTGGCGCATGCTGGACAGCACGATGGACGCGCTGGCGCCGTCGCCCACCGCGTGCCGCACAATCACCGCATTTCGCGACAACCTGGACGACTTTGCAGATTTTGGGCCGCTCCAGCACGTCCACTACCGGTCGACGCAGACGCAGACCTTGGACACGCCGGTTGACCTCTGCAAGCCGCACTCGGGGCATCGCCTCCAGTTCTGCAACGAGCCGTGGTCCAACCTCGGCACGTTTGGTGCGTCATTCTCTACTCCTACGGCAGCAAGCTAAATACGTTCGTATTGCTGTAGGCTACAAGAAGGTGAGTGTCATCAGCGCGCACATTCAGGCGCGGATGCAAGCGCGCCAACGTACGATGGACCTCAACTCGCAGCGCATGGACGTTGTCGTCATCGACTCGACCATGGACGTGCAGCGCTGGCGGGGTAGTCTCACGCACGTCGACTCGTTCACGTGGGACGTAGTCTCGCTCCTCCGGGTGCAAAACTGCACCAACCCATCGAGCTGCCGCACGGTCGAGCTCGTCGACTACCGGTACGAGGGCGGCATGCTCGACTCGAATGTCGTTTACTACTACAAGCTCGTGCAACTGCTTCGACTTGTGGGCCAAGTGTACAATGTCGTCCGCGTGTTGGCGCTTTTTGGCGGCTGCTACGCGGCGACGCGCCGCCACCCTGTCTCGGATTCGCGATGGCTCGCAGCGCTCGGCCTCTTCTTTCGCATTCCTGGTCAAGTGGTCATCTACGGCAGTTGGTTTCCAGTGAGTCTCTTCGTTTTTGCGCACGCCACCGACGCGACGCTGCTCTATCTGTACATTTCCAAGAGCTTTGTCGCGCTCGATGGCGCGATCAACACGAGCTTGTCGAATTTATATGGCCTCTCGACGCTCCTTACTTGCCACATGCGCAACGTATGGGTCCTCAACCTGCTCGCCAAGGCGTACTTTTACCTCCGCCACCATGGATCGCACGCATCGAGGTGGTCGCGCCACCTCGTCGGTCTCCGCGGCTACTTGTTGCCGCTCGTGTCGTTTGTGTCGGCCATCTTTGACGTGCGCTGGAACGCGCTGCGCAGTACCGAGATCCTTGCGGCCGCACCCGTGTTACCGAGTAGCGCCCAAGCCGCCAAGCACGCGGGTTCGATTCCCTGTGATGTGCGCTTTAGCGGCCTGTTCACCGACGCCAAAAACTTGCTCATTGCGCTGTTTCTTGTCCGAAGCGCTTTGCGACTCGGGCGCGTGCGCTCGGTCCACGCGACGTCGTCAGTGCCGTACATTGCGCTCGCCCACTGCAACCTCTCGATGTTTAGTACGTCGTGGCGGTCACTCTTTCTCGATCGGACGCTTGGCCGAACCGTGAGCACGCAGCTCACCCTTCCCCAAGATGACGACGACAACATTGACGAAGCGCGGATGCTCATGAACATTATGTGGATGACCGACCCGATCGAGTGGCTTCTCTTGTGGCAGTGGCGCTGTCCGATCGTCTTCACCTACCGCCACGCCACGACGCGACAGGTGCTGCATCATCCGCTCGGAAAACTCGATCTGGAAGAACTCGACGACCACATACTTCTTGATGCGCGCTACGAGTGCATTGGCCAGCAAGACCTGAACGCTCTCGCGTGGTGCGACCGAATCCAGTGCTACTGAAAGCAACCACACCACCGTAATAGAATAGTGTTGACAGTAGCATGTCACCCAAAACATGTGTTTCGGCATGACTCGTCCTGCGCTTCCATCAGGTTCTTAGAGCCAAAGGCTATAGAACGCGTCCGACGTCCCCTCGGAGCATAAGCTTTCCAGCATGAGCACAAGACGGGGCGCACTCCAAGCCGGTGTGCATCAACCAGTGGACGCCTCTCCAGTGCGGCTTCTGAAACCGATATGGCGTGTAGCCTCAAACGATGCCAAGGTTGGTCCCAGGTCCCACCCTCTCGCTTTTCACGCGGTGACTCTAGGCAAGCGTGGATGCATTTGTCCCAGAGGCGCCAACCTCCCGCCAGGTAGCTACAGAGGCACGTCGGTACCTTCGGAGCCGACGCTACCTGCTCTCACGCCGACCAAGGCGGCCAAGTCGACAAAGCAACCACGGCTAAATCGAAGCAAGCCAACGTCGTCGAGCGCTGCCACGACGCCCACAACGTCGAGTCCACTAGCCACCGTCCCACCGACTGCTGTCCCCGCAGCCATCGTTCGTGCAACTGTACCGGAGCCAGTGTTGCCAGTATTGGACCCGCGACGCAACGGCTCTATCGTCGTGCGCTACAACCACTACAAGAAGGAATTTGCGATCATGAACGGCAGCGTGACCACCGCTGTGATCGACGCACAGTACTTTCTTTTGTCAGTGTTTCCCAAGGCCGCATTGCACCTCAGTCGCTACGGCCCATCGGACTTTGGGTATGAAGCAAACGGCGAGAGCGAGCGACCGATGCTGCGCGAAGACCCGCCAGGCGTCTACCACGATCTGCTCGATGGCGACGTCGTCTGGGTCCATATCGAAGAAGACGCGGCCGAGCGCGCGGCCTACGAAGAGCGCCAAGACGCGTATGCAAAAGCGGCGGCGAACAAGCGGGCCGAGGCGCCGCCATCCAACGGCCTTCTCAAGGAGAAGACCGAGTCGTGCTCGTGTCTGGAGGGCAACCCGTGCGTCGATCGGTACTGCTGCAAAGACTGGGACCACCGGCTCGAGGTCGCCAAACGACATGGCTGGAAAGGCTTTCAGTAGCTTACACTGTACACTCCGCAGGAAATCTAACGATTTGTTGCTCGTTGACGCCACTCGACTATCGTTCTATCAACCTCGCCCCGTTCTCTTCCATGTCAGCACGTTCCTCTCGGAGGCCGTCACAATTATAGCGCGGAAGCCGTAGTATCATCATCATGGCCGCCATACGTGCGCTCCCATCAAGAGAATAACCAGTGTATTATTCCCTTGGCTCACATTGAGCCAAATTTCAGTGTCAAAGAGTGTACTAGGGCTAGGGTTACCACGCTCACGGAAATCAATGCTAAGCGGAGGACCGTTGACGGGTCCAGTCAAGAAGTGTAGTTCCCGACTTCGCCTCGTAGCGCTCGACACTGGCCAGCCACCAAGTAGAGCCGGGTTCGAATTTGGCGAGTCTTTCTGGTTGTGATTCCGGTATTAGGCTGTAGCGTCGTATTAGTATGCCACTGGGTTCATAACCCACAAAATATCGCACAAAATGGGCAGCCACAGGAGAATATGCATCAAAACAGTTGAAAAAAGTAATGGGAGTCCACTCGAAACAACCACCGTATTAGACAAGACACACGCACACAAGCAGACAAAGAGGGCGGAGAGGTCACGGGACGAGCAATTTCCTTCGATTGCCGTCGATGCGGTTGATCCACTGCGTCTTTTCGTACTTGGAGTTGATGTAGAACGTATGCAGAGTGCCGTCGTGGTAGATTTGGAGCGGCCAGCGCGTCGTCTTGAAGTGCATCATACCCGCCGTGTCGAGCTTGGCGTTCTTGTCGCGGACGAGCTGGATGCGGCGCAAGTCAAACATCTTGTACGGCGTGAGCCCGCCGGGGTGATACAGCGAGAGATGCGTCTCCGTCAAGACGCCCCACTCGGCGTGGTCGGCGTCCTTGCACCACGCGAGCGAGCTCTCGTACGACATGCCGCTGCGCATATATAGCTTCCCGACGCGGTGGCGGACCGCTGCGAGCGTCTTGGAGAGCACGGACGGGCGCATAAACATCTGGCCCGCGAACGACGACATGGACGGGTTCAAAGGCACGAGGCTCAGCTCGACGCGGCCTTCGACCGTGCGCTCGGTCTGCTGCAATGGCGCGTCGATCGGAATGCGGTACGTCCCAAACGGCACGTACGTCGCGCGGAAGTTGGCGGGTTGCGCCCAGTCGTCGGCCACTGAAAGCACGGCCTGCCCGAGGAAGATGGGGTTCTGCACCTTGGAGCCCTCGGCGGCGACCGTCACAATCACATCGTAGTTGCTCGACATGATCGGGACAAAGAAAGGCGCGTGCACGATCTTGGCCTCGCGCGAGACCTCGGTCTTGTACGTGTACATGCGCGGGCCATACGGGCGGCGCAGCACTGTAATGAGGCAGATGAGCCCCATGCGCAGCCACTTGGCCGACGTGTCGAGGCCGTGGATCTGCAGCTGCGCGGGCCGCCCAATCTGCCCCTGGAGACGCACGCGCAGCGCCTTGGCCGCATGGCTACGCCACGCGCGCTGGATCTTGGCGGCGGCGAGCGCGTACAAGAGGCGCTTCGGGGTCGCGTCGGGGCCAGGCGTGTCGTCGGCCTGGTTGTCGCCAGCGTACTTGCGTGCCATGTGAGCGACTTGGTCCTGGGGTACTCGGCTGAGCTTCTTCTTGCTCGTCCCGAGCTTTGGGCGCAGGCGCAGCGGCGGCGTCTTGGGCACATACTCGGCGGCTCCTCCGTCGACCATCGCGCACGTTCCAATGTCAAAAAGGCTTGGAAATAGATCGAAGTTCGAAGCTCATAGCAATCCACAGGGTTTTTGTAAGCTCGATGGCTGTCACAGTCGGTGCAATGTGGCGAAACTTCGTCGAAGCCAAAGTGGCAACGGCAGAGGCCAGCAGATGATGGCGCGGGGCAAGGCGCGCAGTAATTTAGAACGACAATATGTACATTTGTCACAAAGTGCTTGTCGTTGACTTGGTGCAGGGAGCGTAGTCGGCGCTGGTGGAAGGGTATCAAGGAAAGGCTGGCAACGGTTTCTCCGTCTCTGTCTACTTCGGCAGTATCCAAATGGTGTCGTTCGTCGCCATCGCGTCTTCTCGCCTTGGGTGCAACGCTGGTGCATAGCACAGAAGAGGACACGCTCATCACCCTATCCCTGGTAGGCATGTAGCTCCGGTAGCATCGCTTTTAGATGCAAAGACGCGAGTGCAGAATGCATCAACAGATAACAGGGTGTTGACGAAGCACGCAAGAGCATGATCCTGATATGGAGATTGTTCCCGACGCGGCGAATTCAGATGCACATGCATAGAGACGGCGTCGGCAAGCTTGGGTGATGTGGCATCATCCAAGGTGTGCGCAGAAGCATTTGTCGACTGATGTCGCTAGCATTCGTAGTCCATCCTGGTGGTCTCGTATCTCATTGCGTTGGCGTCGAGAGGGCTCCTGGTAGTGCCACCAAGATGACTCGGGGTAGGTGTGCCTGCGTTTCTCGGACGTTTTGCGAATCGCATATGATCACTGCAATTCTGGAGCAAAGGCAAGCACGTCTTGTAGTTGCCGACTGCGAATGAACTGCGATACAACTCAAAGTCAAAAAGAACGCAATGCCATTTATACTACCGCTACGGGGACGGTCCGTGGTCGTGGGCAACCTTCGGGGGGTCGCCCATAATGATACTGACCTCCGACGTCATGGCTTGGGGAGGCAGAGGGTCCACCGAGTGGCTTCGCTCTTTCTCGGCGCGGAGCTCATGTTCGTGCTGCAGGAGCAGAACTGAGTTTCGTCGGCTGCGGACCAAAGTCGAAAAACCAAGACCGAGGAAGGCAGCCCCGAAGATGCCCGCCATCGCGATCATCGGCGGGCCGTACGTCGACTCTTCGAGGTCGTACTTGGTGCAGCGGGGGCCAGTCCAGACGCCCATGCACTTGCAGCGGCGCTTGATGCACGAGCCCGTGATACTGGCGGCCGACGTGCAGTCGTCATCGGTGTTGCAGGTCGCGCCTCCCGCCACAATGATATACGGGTTGCGAGGATCCGTGTAGTTGGTGATGTGCGCCTTGATAAACTCCTTAGATGGATGCGAGGCGGGGTCGCAGCCGACGCTCATCGTCTTGGTGTCTTGCCTACAGAAAAATAGACTCTGTAAGATACAGAATGGAATACTGGATCAACGCACCAGACGCGAATGTAGTCGACCGACATGTACATCGGGAACGAGTCGCAAATGTTGTTGGTCACCTTATGCTCCCACGAACCAGGCTCCGGATGCGTCGCGTTGCCGCGGCAACCACCGACTTGCCAGTTGGGGGGCGTAGCACCTACGCCAT